CTCATAAAGATAGACGCTTGTTTTGTTCCTAAATGAATAGGTGTTTTTGAATGTATTGTTCAGTGACTCACTCTAAAGACATTTGCTGCAGCTACTGGTATATTAATGCAACATGCAAAATACTCTATTTTACAATATGTCTGCCAAAACAAGAGCAAATTTTAAAGGTTTCATCCGTTTTGTACTATTCAGTGACATAATAATCTTGCAACACCATGCATCACAAATAAAAACATCTTTGCACTGTTACAGAAGTTACACTAACAAGAACATTAATGCTGGTCGTTAATAACAAAGTGTTTTTAAGATTTTAAATTGCTCTGAAATATTAGATTTTAGGACTGCACAACATATCGTTTCAGCATCGATATCGCAATGTGTGCATCCGCAGTAATCACATCACTGGATCTGCAATGTCAAGTATAGATTATTGTTGACCAGGAGCTTGTAGATTAATGGCGATATTGTGGATTTAAAGTATATTAATTGCATTTGTTTGCATTTTTTTCTGTTAAACACATGGTAAAAAAGTGATTTGTTGACTTTACTCAAAAAAAATAATTAATTAAAATCATTGCCTTATAATTATTATATAATTATTACGCACAAACAAACTGTCTGTGTAATTCAAATTTAAGTTGATGGGTTTACCGATTTTTAAAGTAAAATCAATGTTACTTTTAAAGCAACAGGTTTACTCATTTATTTAAAGTAACTAATCACTTTTTACAGTTACAAAGACTAATAAAATCACATTTTTATAGTGTCATTTTACATTAGATTTGTAAATATACGTGTCCAACCTTCATTTAGACTTACCAAACAAAAATAAACCACTTTATTCCTCTCATTTGTTTGTTTTCCCATCCTAAAAAATTGAGTTTAATGTTAATTTAAATATTTATGTAGATGCACTCACCTATAAAATCACCCCAAATGTTCTGAAATAGTGAATTCTTCACAAAAGAAAAGTTATTCAGTCCAAAGTCAGGGGTGGAAAGAGTAATAAAATATTCTACTCAAGTAAAAGTATAAGTAAAATTTACTTAAGTAAAAGTAAAGCTACATGTCTATAAATCTGCTCAAGAAAAAGTAAAAATTAACTCATTAAAAATGTACTCAACTCATGAGTAAAGAGTCTCTATTTCTCAAAAGGCATAAGAGGATACAAATCTTCAATTAGTTGTTTTTATGGAACTTTAAAAATTTAAGACAAAAAATTATATACTTATTTAAAATATTTCACAGATTAGCCTATTTAACACTTTAAACAAATTGACAAATTCTAATGCAACGTCTATGTTAGCTAACTTGTGCAAAGACAATTTTGCTTTAAGTCCCTGTTAATATCTAATCCTGGTGCTAACGAACATTAGCAATGTTACGAACACGATCAAATATTTGTTTGGGCCCAAACTAAAAAAACAAAAACTAATTTAAAACCGTTTAGCATTGTTTTTTTCTGAAGTTGCACCCTAGTTTGATCATGTACAAATGTCATTCTAGCTATATCGTATACATTTTATTATAAAGGCCTACATCATGCTGACAATCAACAACAAAAATTATGATATAACAGGCGATTGTCCACATAAAGCTTAAGAAGCATACAGTTCTTTATAATATACATATATATATAATAAAGAGTTGCAGGTTAAGGAAACATGAGATGAAGTTGGCATAGGCCTTGGTGCAATTGAAAATTAAAATTATTAAATAATAAATAAAATAATTAAAATAAAATAGAAGGATAGATGGGTAACTAGAACAGACAGATAGATTTATCTGCACATGCCGCCGATCAGGTGCGATGCGCGGCGCACGCGCTGCTTTAGCTTTTCTTGTGTATGCGATGGGAAAGAAGTCTCCCCGCATCCATTGTGGTCTGGATTATATCATGTGCACTGCTTTATTTCCGCATAATAATGATCTTTATAAATCTAACTCCAGCAGTAAATAGACTATTTTACCCGCAGAATATTTCAAATGCTGCTGCTGCAATGACATGATTTCCGAGCGCGATTTTCTTATTTTTCGTTGGATTGCTTTATACATTTATTTTTTTTTACTCTGATAGAAACGGATATGATTTAAAATGTAGCAAAGAGCAATACTTTAGGCAAATCATATTTAAGTCAAAATTAAATTACAGATTTTAAACACTACACTAAAAAGTATAAATTATCAAAAAAAACTAGAAAAAAAAAGTACAGTAACGTGAGTAAATGTAATTTGTTACTTTTCACCTCTCAATTTGGTAAAATAGATTTCATATCGCAATGTATAACGCAGAAAAACAAAATATGTATGTTAATATGTATGTATTTTTTTCCAATATCGTGCAGCCCTATTAGATATTACTAAAAAAATTGTTACAAACACCAAACTACTGCATGTCCTCCTATACCATTTTCACATTTTGCAATGACTTGCTTTAGGAAGTTATAAAAATAGCAGAAATGACTTTACACATTGTTACAAAGAAACAAAACACTACAATAGCGTTTTTGTGCAGTCGTCTTATAATAAATGATTCAATTACTGAACCCGAGAAAGGACTCACAACATTTCATAAGACCTCGATACTTGTTTGTTTAAACAAACCCATAAATGCGCTGGATCCTGTCGCAGGGTTTTGTTATTGCAGAGCGATATCTGTAAATAGAAGCATTTTCATCAGCCTGGGAAAATGATCTATAATTTTCTCAGCCAGAAAATCATCATTTCTAGTACTAAATCATGTCAAAACATCATTTTCAGTGATGGCTGAGAGCAGCTATGGGCTACTTCAGCTCCATTCTGCCGTACTATAGTTTCGAACATAAACAAAGCCTTTAAAGGTTTATGATTCAACCTTATAAGTACGTCTGTCAGCGCAGGAAGTTGAAGAGAGACATGAAAACAGAACCCCTAACACTTCAACCTCTATGGATAGCCACCAAAAGCCTGCGAATCGTCAACAAACATGTCTTTCCCCCATCTGAGAAAAAATTTCGACTTTATGTAACCTTGAGCTCCATGTCTGAGGGGTTTCCAGAAGAATGGAGCTTATCCAAAATCCCCTACAGGACTACAGATGGAAATGAGGAGATGAGATAAAAATCAAAACATTCATTACTATAATCTGTTTTTCGGCAAGCGAGTGCCTCTTGGCTAGTTCTTTCAATCTGATACCATGATGAGGGGGGAAAATAAGAACTCCAATGTCAAAGACGAGCGACTGAATTCCGCCAATAAGACTCAATGTCTCCACATTCCTCGCTGTCCGCAGATGGGAAAACAGTGTGCGACGCGGACTCCACATTCAACCGCTGCTTCCTCTCCAGTCGAGCATAACATCAGCACAAAAAGACTCACACACTTTCGCCACATTCCTCTTGTTTACGATTATCTTTCCCCAAGAGCTTTCACAACCTCGGATTTAGGGTGGATGTGTGCGTGTAAAACGGGAGTGTTGTTTATGTTAGCATATCTGTGTTGTTCAATGGACACAGATAAACTTTAAAACCATGCCCTGGACTCAATATAGACGCCGGTACTCGAGTCAGCCGGTAATTGCCAAGCTAATGAGATTGAGTTTAATGCACAGGGCATGACACACGGAGGAAATGGAGTGACTGATTACAAAAAAAGCCCCCAGATCAATAATGCGCTGCCGAGGGAAGCCATTCACCAAGGCCTCTGCCTTGGTATTTTGACTAGAGCTTCATGACTTTATATGGAGTCAAACTGGGCTTTTTAAAGGAGTCCAGAACCAAACACATTGTGAATGGAAAGCAGGCATAAAATAACATCTTAAATCTTAACTACTTCAGGCCATCCGAGACCGCGCCGTAAAAATGTGCCAACGAATACCTCAAGACCAACATATGAAAATGGATTTCCAAGTAAAGCTATGCTCGCAAAAGCAAGCCTCCATGCATGCCAAGAGGGAAGTTTCTGTTTCAAAGCAAAATGACATTTCTAGAATGCAGCACTTGTTTCCTTGGTAACTAATCTGTCCACATTAGGGCCTCAAGGGAGCTCTCCTCTCAAACTTAACCTCACTCCTTTTGGCCGGTGAGGAGACTTTAACAAAGGCTCATTTTGTGGACAACAAAAGCAGAATGAAACCCCAGCTGGACCGCCGATTCCATCACACGTTCCCACATCATCCAAAAGCCCTTCCACCAAAGCAAGCTGTGAATAAAATACAGCGTCCTGTTAAATGTTCAGGATCGATATCAATTAATTAATGAAGCGTTCTTCACAAACACTGCCTCAGTAATGAGATTAATCCTGGCTGGAAAGAGTCTTGTCTGCTGAAAACAGAATGAATTCAGGCTTGATTTCCCCCAAAACCATTGGCACAAGCTGTTTCCTTTAAACTAGCCAGGACTTATTTTTAAGTATTTGCTAACGAATAAACCCAAGTGTAACTAGTAGCCTATATCTTTTAACTTTGTAGTATTTATAAAATATATTAATTTAACTATTAGAAACAAGCTGTTCCAATGTTGACTAGTTTATTCGTTTGTTAATTTGTATTAAACTAGCCTAATTACATGCGAAATACACAACAACAAATATGTAAGCTAGCTAAATCTGGGACAGACACTCGTTACTATCAGGTATTCGCATTTACTAAAGTATTAATGCTGAAACAGACAAATAACATTAAAATGCTTTGTTTCATTGATTCAAATCCGATAGAATATCGTAAACACGAATTTTTGACTATTGTTGACAATTTTATAGAATTGTTGTCTCATTATATAGAAAGAGCTGGTTAAGCACGACCTCAACAATGAGTGATAATAATGATGCGCCAGGGAGCGAAGGGCCCCTTTTGTTATCATCTCATAAATTAAATATGCCCCTCCAGGGCCACGTTACAGCTCACTAACTTAAAAAAAAGACTGCGCCCTTTTTTTGTTTTCCCTGCATCCTAAAATATGCATGAACAGCTCATCTTGTCTGAACGTTGTTTACAGCAAAGTTACAAAAGTAACGGGTCTCACCGGTCCCCAGTGTGCTGTTGCACCGCCAGGTCGCGGAGGCAGCGGGCTTCGAGCACGACTTCCACAGGGACAGGTGGTACTGGTCATCGGCGGTGACCCACGCCGGACTCAGCACGGCCCCGACATCCAGGCACAGCGCGAGGAAAACACACACCAGACCCACCAACTTCAGGGGCGTCAACGCCGACACGCGCACTTCCTCTGCTCCGCTCACGGATGAGGCCATGTCGGCTGGATGCCCTGGGCTGATGCTGCGCTGCGTCTCGGAGAGGAAAAAGAGGACTATCCGCACACTTTGGATCCGTATTCGCGATCAGTGTTTTGGAGATTGTGGAACAGCTGCGCGAGAGGGACGCTGTAACAGCTGCCCTCGCGCTCCTATGAACGCGACTGCACTGCACATTATTGAAAAATCTCTGCTGCACCTGCAGGGTCCTAGTGCCTCGCCGGAGCTCCCTTTCACAAAACCCTGAAGTATGATTCACGGTCAGTTATCGAGTCAATAGTTCAGTGACGCACCGAACAAGAACCGAGACTTATATGAACATGTTTGACCCAAAATATGGTGATTTAGAGGGCTGGATTCAACACATTTTGTAATCTTTTTATACACAAACAGAGCTAGGCTATATTTTACCATTTGATATTTTTCTTGTTAAATTTTGCTAATTGAATCTCTTAATAAGTTTCTTAAAACTCAGGCCATTCACAATGTGATGGTTGATAACGTTTTATGGGTAGCCTATGTAGTGGTGGAAACAATTAGTGAACTTCTGTGATGGTTGTAGCCTGTGTTGTTCAGCAGTCAATGGACACTTGCACTTTCATAGTAAAAAAAACAGCCTACAGGCTAATAAAATAAAAAACACAAATGTTTCCTGATTATTATGCCCATGAAAAAAATATATTGATTTATAGTTAATACTTTAGTGTTTTTGAACTATACCACAGTAAAGTGTATTACATTTACAACAGTGTTAGTGAATATATTGTTTTATATTGAACTGATAAACTGTAATAACTACTGTATTATAGATATACTACAGTAAACAACTGTCGTGTACCTCAGTGTAATACCATATAGTTGTAGAAAACTACAGATTGGGTCATTTATTTTAGCATTCATTGATTTTCGTTTCGGCTTAGTTCCTTTATTAATCAGGGGCCACCACAGCAGAAGAGCCGCCAACTTATCCAGCATATGTTTTACTCAGTGGATGCCATTCCAGCCGCAACTCAACACTGGAAAACGGCCACCCACTCTTGCATTCACACACATATGTAACCCTGCCGGTCCTATGCCACCCAACCCGCTCAGAGCTGGTATTGAACTGGCGACCTTCCGCATAAGAGTCAGTTGCTCTAGCAAGGAGGCTAAAGACCATGACCTATAGCTTCTATCGCTAGAGCATCTTTAGAGGTTAGAGGAGTGAGGTTTACCTGCACAGCACGTACTAGCTGGCCTCCGTTACACATACACTTTGGCCAATTTAGCTAACTTAATTCACCTATACCGCATGTCTTTGAACCTGTGAGAGAAACCGGAGCACCTGGAGGAAACCCATACGAACACAGGGAGAACATGAAAATATATATGAAAATATAAATGAAATTTTTTCATATAATCAATCCTATATGAAGCAAAATAACCAGTCTATCTTTAACATGAATAACTAGATCGTTCATTCAGTCATTTTCTTGTCTGCTTAGTCCCTTTAGTAATCTTTGGTCGCCACAGCGAAATGAACTGCCAACTTATCCAGCATAAGTTTTTACTGGAAAATTAATTACTACATTATTACCATTAATTGTCATGTTCTCTAGCCTTTTTTGCTGCACCTTGTTATGCTAGTATGTATAAGCTGAAAACTTAAAATAATAATATTTCTTTACATTTATATAGCGTGTTTCTGGACACTCAAAGCACTTTACACAGTGAGGGGAATCTCCTTATCCACCACCAGTGTGCAGCATCCACCTGGATGACATGACCATATTGCACCAGACCGAACACATCATCCAAGGTTTAACATCTCATCCAAAAGACAGTGCTCACTGAGCAGTAAAGTGTCCCATTCACTATACTGGGGCGTTAGGCTGCACACAGACAGCAGGTTGAGCATCCCCTGCTGGCCTCACTAACTTCTGGCACCAACCTAGTTTTCCCATGTGGTCTCCCATTCAGGTACTAACCAGGCTCAGCCTTGCTTAGCTTCAGTGAGTGACCATGTGAGAATTAAAAAGAGCAAGCTGCCAGCTTTATCATACAACTTTGATGATATATAATAGTAAAATAAAGATAACTTTACACAGAAAAAGAATCACTGAATCATTTTCTTAAGATCAGTTCTGTTCAAAAGTATCGATTCCTCAATATGAGCCAGACATTCGATCGCTGCCCCTCAACTGGCGTGGCATGTAGCCTATTTCTCTCACACTATTTTCCCTCATTTGTTTATTCTCTCTATTCAGCTATCTTTTGAGCTGTCACTGTTCTGCACATTTTAGCAATCTGTCTTTTTTCAGAAAGATAATGAAACATTTCTTTCTAATAATTAGAATATGAAACACTTTCCAGACTCTAAGATTAGCATACTTGCAACATACTTTAGTGCTGGATTGCATGTAAAAGATATGAATGCTATCCTAACAATTTGTGGGGTGGAAAAAAAACATTTAACCAGAAGATGTTACAAAATGCATCCAAAAACTCTTCATTTTAAAATATATTTCATTTTCTCTAAAGAAATAAGAGAAAAAAAACATGACTCAGTATCATCCTTCATACAATTACTGAGTTGTAAAACATTGTTGTCAAAAAAAAGGTTATGATCAACATGAGCATTCAGCCTGAAAAGCTGTACATTGTTCATGAGCTATTAAGTCTGACAACAAAAGACACTTGGAATTTCACCACATAATCAACAGCTTGGCCTTGCCTCATGCAGAAAAAGATAAAACCCTAAATACATCTTTTGTTCTGTTCTCAAGATTTGCACGCACAAAGGAAAATAATATTCTTCCTTTGCTCCACTGTGCATAACACAGGAAGATTAAACATTGAATTCTCGTTCTCCTTTCCAGTTTATCATGAATAAGCTTTTCATTTGGGAAGGATTGAAAAATCATTCATTTTGAGACAAATTGAAGATGGTTGCTTAAGTCATAAAATACTGCTTGCTTTGAGAGTGAAGAACATATTCAGAATGTTACAGACTGGCAGTCTCAAGGTGACTGATGGCTTGTTTTTTTTCCCTGCAGAGACATGATCACCTCTTTCTACTCATCTATTCAGGTCAATTTGATTTTTTTTATTATCAAGGGTTTTGTGAAGAAGAGACAGGAATAATGGAGACTGAAATGTATGATTGAGACTGTGTGTGTGTGTGTGTGTGTGGCATTTATTTACTATATGTTGAAAAATTAGTTATTATTATTATTATTGGGCGCAGTAGATAGTGCTGTCGCCTCACAGCAAGGTCGCTGGGTCGCTGGTTCGAACCTCGGCTCAGTTGGCGTTTCTGTGTGGAGTTTGCATGTTCTTCCTGCCTTCGCGTGGGTTTCCTCCAGGTGCTCCAGTTTCCCCCACAGTCCAAAGACATGTGGTACAGGTGATGTGGATAGGCTAAATTGTCCGTAGTGTATGAGTGTGTGTGTGGATGTTTCCCAGAGATGGGTTGCAGCTGGAAGGGCATCCGCTGCGTAAAAACTTGCTGGATAAGTTGGCGGTTCATTCCGCTGAGGTGACCCCAGATTAATAAAGGGACTAAGCGGACAAGAAAATGAATGAGCTATTATTGTTGTTGTAATTGTTGTTGTTGTTGTTGTCAGTGTTATTATTACTGTTGTCCCTTTTTCTTTTTACTGTCATTATTACGATCATTAACATTACTTTAATTGTTGACACTCTTCACCACTGATTGGTCTCTTTCTATCTATGTTTTATTTATATCTATGTTATTTTCTTCATTTATTGACTGTTAAATATGTTGTGTATGTATATGTATCTTTTTTTCTTTCTTTCTCTTATGTATGTACTCTGCGGCCTTGTGCAACTCATGTGTCCCTCCAGTGCCATTATTCAGCCATATCCCACTGCTACTTAAGTGATATTGCTTATTTATAAGTTTTTTTAATCACTTACTTATTTTTTCAAAATCCAGCATTCACCTCAAATACAACAAATGTACACATTGTAGTTTCACTAGTTAATATCTGATGTTTACACTGAATGTAAAAGCATGTTTGAGGACATCAGGGCAAATGTGCTTTCTAGCAAACTCTTGGAGCATCATTGATTACCGATTGTAATCCAAGAGAAGAAAAGAGAACGCTAGAGCCCTCTAAATAGTCATTATTCAAGATAATAGTGAACAAGACACAAATTGAGTTTGTGAGTCCTTGTTGATTAATATACACGTCAAAGAAAAGAAGCAGCTTTACTGTGTTGCGCCAAACACATTTGAGTCGAATTATTTGTCTTTTCTTGCCTTTTTCTTTTAGAATGTCAAAGCTGAAACTGTTTGTTTTAGTTATTCATAAAATGCAGGTCGACAGTTATGGCCATTTTTAATAGTCCAAACAAACTGACAAAAAAGCAAACAAAAAATAAAACATGTAGCAGAACTAAATACACTGAAAAAAATATTCAAGGATGATTATTTACTAATTTTTTGAAGTTAAGTGGTTGGAAGCAAAAAAAAAAAAGTTGAACGTGCTAAATATTTTTTTTTTGTTTAAATTCAGGGTGGCACGGTGGCGCAGTGGGGGTAGCACAATCACCTCACAGCAAAAAATGACTGGTTCGTGCCCAATCTAGGTCAGTTGGCATTTCTGTATGGAGTTTGCATGTTCTCCTGTGTTTGTATGGGTTTCCTCTGCGTGCTCCGGTTTCCCCCACAGTCCAAAAACATGTGGTATAGGTGAATTGGGTAAGCTGAATTGATGTGTGTAAATGAGTGTGTGTGTGTGTGTGTGTTTCCCAGTGATGTATTGCAGCTGGAAGGTTGGTTGCATCCGCTACGTAAAAAAATATGCTGGATGAGTTGGCGGTTCATTCCGCTGTGGTGACCCCAAATTAATAAAGGGACTAAACTAAAAATAAAATAAACAAATGACCGAATGAATGTTTAAATTCAACAAATATAAATAGTTTATAATAATTTTGCAAACATCATTTTTAGCTTAAAATTTTGTTAAATTAATTAGTTTACGCATTATATACATTATTATTACATTTCATCCTTGAACAAACTTGCTTTCATTTCTAACAATCTAGAGTGCTTCCTTTCACATAAAGGCATGCTTGACTGCATATCATCAGCAGCCACAGGTTTTTATTTAGTTTTGTCAGTGTGTGTTTCTCTCTCTCAAAGAACTGGTAAGCATTGACTTGTCAAAAAGTCACCCACATTTTGAAAGGAATAATTTTGGATGTCCCTCTAACAATATCATATTATTTCATATTCTTAAATGAAGCTCATTTAGCTACATTTTATTTGTACTTCTTTTGGTCCTCTCTGTTACTTTAATTATTTTCCATGATTTGCTTTGTCTTTTATTTGTCCAAATGTTATTCATTTTTCTATTTTTTGCATGACACATTTTTCTCTAAACACTTTGACTAAGTAATATTTTGTTAATATTTTTAATTTATATTTTAGTTAATAGAGCACACTAAAATGTAAATAACATAGTTTTTATATAATTTTAGAAAGAATCTATCAGTCAAAGCGTAATATAATGTAATAATAAGGCATTGTTTTACCACAATTAAGATTGCATGAAATCATTCACTTTCTCACATTCCTATTTAGCCTATTCTGACAATACATTATAAGCCGTATGTATACAGATAAGCCGATATATTACCCATTCCCTACTGTCTCATATTCCTACAATCAGAAAGGGGATTTACAAAGAAAGAAACTCGTTCTGTAATTACACCCCATGCCCCGAAACCAGCGTCGGCGGTCCTCTGTGATTCATTACAAGCAGAGACCTCTATTTAGTTAATTCTGGCCGGTTACTGCACCATGTGCGCATGCGCCAAATCAGGACATTGGGACTAACGGGGATACACGTTTGGGCGGAACGGGTAAACACAGTTTTAAATGTTATTTAAACTCTTAGTGTTTTCTAATTATTGTATACAAAATGCCTATATTCGGACACATCGACGGGTACGTTGAGTTGTACGGTTTTAATGATCAAAACGTCGACAAGCTTCAGTCGATATCCATCACAAATATGGGACTGAATTAACGTTAGCGACACAAGTTGCTTAACCTTAACGTTACCATGTTTTTTAACATCGAGGCGTTAGCTTTACGGGTTGATATAAGATAACAGTGCGTTATGCTTTTCAAAAATGTGTCCGTTTTAATTCGTTTGCTGACTCTGGTTGAATGTGTCCTATAAATGCTAGTAAGCTAACAGTCCTTGAGCTATACAGGATGATTTATGTATCTGGACATACATTTACGTCAGCTGTTTAGTGTGCCTTGACATACAGACGCCTCTCTGTAGTACTTCATGACAAAATTCATCGCCAGTTTTGCTGTTTTAAATTTGATAATTTGGAAAAAGCATGAGCACAAGTGATATAAATAGGTGGTCGATGATTAAATCTGGTTGTCTGTCCTGTCACTCTCAAGGTCCAGATTTCCTGTTTGAAAAGCTGCAGGAATCATGGGAGCCGGTGAGTCCTTATATTTTATACTGTATATCTGTGACAAGAGTCTGTGATATGTTAAAGGATGCTGCTTTGTGTTTCTTTACGTTGCTATGATATTGTGTGTGTGTGTGTACTGAGCCTCCTAGTGATCTAATGGATGTCACGTAAAGGTGATGCATCATTCTGTCAGCAATTTCTGATTAGTATTAGTTACAGATTGTCAACAGGGCCCACAGAGCGCCTCTAATATTTAATCCATGCCTAATCCGATACTTATGGATCACACAATATATTATCTGTTTTATTTCTCCCACGCTCAATAGTGAGGAACAGTGGGCTTCTCTTTCACAAATTCCCTGCGCCTGGGAGAAACGGGCATTTCAAAGAATGTCGGTCGTAGTAGCCCCCCTCTTGGTTTGTGTGCTGTAGGCTCATTGTTTGTATCTTTGCCAGTGTTCCTGCCAGCAGATGCCGCGCACTCGGTGCTGCGGAGGCTCCCGAGAGCAAACTTCTTCTTGGAGGAGATGAAACAAGGGAACATTCAGCGAGAATGCAGAGAGGAAATCTGCAATTATGAAGAAGCCAGGGAGGCATTCGAGAACGATGAGAAAACGGTGAGATTGGGGTGGATGTTTGTGCACGAACTTGAACAATTTCCGTTTAGTCGTTCCATTCTGTGGCATTTCCTCTGAGCAGGGAAGTGAGCAACATCAACAGGAAAGGCTCAGTGGGTGTACAGTTTTTGGGGATTATTAAATATGTCATTAAGTTTCGGAATGGTCTTGTGGTTGTTTACACTGTATGTGCAAACACAAAACAGCAGAACAGTCATCAGCTGAATATGTAATGATGTAATGTTCCAGAAAGGGCTGGATGGATTGAGAAAGAATTCTAGCAGAGTGCTGTAGTTGTTGTGTCCAGTACTTTCAAGACTATTCCACCACTTGTTTCACTGGGGATTTACCTGTTTTATATATTTTCATAAGTAAAATAAGGTCTATAGTAGACATAATTGGCTCAGTGTGTCAGTGTTTTGGTCTAAAACAAACATGCGCACACACCACAAACATTCTTTTGTCGTTACTTGTTACAAAAATCGGTTTGTTTTAGAGCAAAACAGAAAAACGCTGCTGTCAGTTTATATTTGCCACAGACCTTGTTTTAATCATAAATAAGAAAAACTGGAGCAAGCAGTGGCATATTAATGTAGTTGTATTATTTTTATTATTAATATTAGTAGTAATGAGGATGATTATCACCAATTAAAATATTAAAAGAAGACCTATAATTTAAAGAAATAAAATGGTGCACAATATATTGGTTGCTGTTTTGGCTAAAATCTGTGGATACTTGTGGGGAAAAAGCTTCAGAAACAGGCATACATTTTTTTTTGTTTGTTTATTATTTAATTATTTGTTCTGTAACACTATACAATAAGGTTGTATTGGTTAATGTTAGGTCATGTACATTTATTACAGTATTTGCTCATGTTAGTTAATGAAAACACAATTGCTCATTGTTAGATTGTTAACTCGTGGTGCATTAAATAATGTGTGTATTTTGGATTTTAATAGGCCATTGGTAAATGTTGAACTATTATTAATAAATGTATAATTAATAAATAGTTAATACATTTTCCTCTGCGTTAAATATTGCGATATGTGTATACAGTTTGACAGATGGTTTTCTGGAGAATAATCACAATGCAAAAAAAGTCTTGTTTTTAGTTCAAATATCTAAAAATACTTGTAGATCAAGTAAAAAAAATATATATTGTTTTGTTTTCACCTTCAGAAGATATGTCCCCTAAAATTTCCCAGAAATTTCCCTTAAAATAAGCTAAATTATCTGCCAGTGGGGTAATTAAAATAATCTTATTTTCACTTTGAAATGTGGGTATTTAGACTGAAATTTTAAGTAAGAAAATTTTTTTTTGTTGCATAAATCTTGTAAATAACTTAATACAATTGAGTTACACTTCCAAACATACTTTATTGTGCCCAAATTCTCTTGAAAGTCAAAGGCCTTAAAACACATGCAAATGATAAACTTCCCTGTGGTATGGTTAAACTCTACAAACCACTTGTGTTCTGTAGCTGCTGGTCAACTATAATTCAACTATACTTAACTTGTGAAATAAGGTGTAATCCAAAAGGTATTCTCAGTTTTTTTCTGTATGGTGTTATAATTGTTTTTTGTTGTGCAAAGTCTTGGTTATCCGCTTGTAAAGTCGTGACGTATCCGTATGCCCACACGGAATCTGCGTGCGCAGAAAACAGCAGATTTTTGGCTCATCGTTGAGTCTATTTATTTACTTGTGTAAATTGATATTAATTCAGTTTTTAAATTAATTTTAGTAATATTATTGATTAATATAAAAGTGTTCCTTTTATTTATTTACAATACATTTTGTAAAGTAATATTTTCTGTCTATAAGTTATATATTATATGAAAGACTTGCTTTGTTTACCCAATAAGTGGATCTAGAAGGATTTGCATTGTAAACATTAAATAAAAGTTAAAAAGGTATTATTTTTTATTTCATTTATTCAGTTTTTAGTTACGATACTCCCAAAATACTTCCGCATATATCCGCAGATTTTTTACAACATTTTGCACAGAAATACCAAAAAATGACCGCAGATTCTGTCTGGCCCTACATATCAGTGATGTATGAATACTGTTTCCGGGTCCAAGCCGCTGCTCATTTAAATTGAGAAAATATTTGTTTATGACCACTTTTTAGTCATAGTATTTTTTTTATTTGATTTTCATGTAAATTTATAGTTTACGCAACAGTCTCTGGTGAAAATTGTAAATTGTAACATTTTATAAAAGTTAATCACTTTCTGGCCATCTGATATTAGGCATGGATATATGTGTGTGTATATATATATATATATATATATATATATATATATATATATATATATATATATATATATATATATATATATATATATATTGCAATCGTGATTTTCGAAAGTATTACATCGCTTTGATAACGTCAAAACTTCCCATACAGTTTGATATACTGTAGCGATTCGACCCGGAAGCTGCTTTAGGTGACGTCACACTTAGCAAGCGCATTAGTCAGTACAGCGGAAAGGGTGGGGTTTGTTTTCACCACAAACAAGTTAATTTGACCTGTTATGTGAGTTTATTGAGACACTGCCATTATCTAATTGGGTTTTTACCACCCTGTGACTCTTCCAGAGGCGATTTTGGGAGGAGTACCAACGAGAGAGTAGCCCCAGACCAGGAGGACTCGAGTCCATCGCTGGTGGCGTTCATTCCCTATACCTAATCCTACCCCTACTGCTGGTTTTGCTTCTTATCGCTGCAGTCTCCATCACAGTTTGGAGATGCCATTCCCGCAAAAGATCCCAGCAAAGCCCTGCCATCGGGCGTCCCCAAAGAGACACAACACTGTCCGTGGTGTCAATGGACCAATGGGGTCGGGACTACCATCCTGACATAAGCCCTCATTCGGAGATCAGTGCCCACAGTAGCCCTGCCTACCCCGGTGCTGACCTCACACCTGGGCGGGGAAGTCGGGGTGACCCACCCCCTTCATATGAAGAAGCTGTGGGCCATACGGATATACAGATTGAAGCAGAGCCTCCTCCTCAATATGAAGACATCATCAGCAACCACGGTGGCACAATTGTCATCTCCCAGGGAAAGTGACGGATCTTCCAGGCATGTTATCCAGCATCATGAAGAGATGCATTTTGAGGCCTCCGCCAATACTGTAAACTCTGTCATTTATTATTCACCTCTATTGGTTTGTTTTTATAACTAGTGCTTTGTGGGATGTGAACATGGTTTGGCTTTTATTTTTTACTTCATTACTTCTACAGGCATTCAATTATTTTTCTAGTAAAATAGCTATTTCATTTCACATGCAGCAAAATTAACTAATGTGATCATGCTTCGGGGGGAGTATTACAGAAAGTTCCTAACTTTTAAATCTTATCATATCTGTTTGGAAACCGTCGTAATTTCAGTTAGGAGAAGAGCTATTACAGGACAGGATTTATTAAGTGTGTTATCTACAGATAGGAAGGTGATGTTACAAAAACATCCAAACTTGACAATAGTGCAAATTAACGTTTTATTGTTTTTTTTATCCATTTTGTTTAGGCCAACTCATCAGCAGTTTGTGCAGTTTTGGTTGCTTATTAACAGACCTGAGAGTGGCTTGTCCAACTTGATGACACAATTTAAATTTCCTAACAACAGATAAGATGTAATTTTGTAAGATGGGGTAGAATCCCTCAAGACACAAATTTGCACAAAAAAAAAATCCTCATTTAACGTGTCATATCTTAACTTTAGACATAAGATATGAAACTTTCTGTAATACGCCCCAGTACTGAGTTGATTACAGAACTCATGGCAGCTTAAATCCAAGCCCACATCTAATGACGATGAAGTACTGTTATGTCAACTAATTACATTCTTCTTAGTAAGTCCTAAAAAATGTTTTTCCTAGTTATGGCCTCTAGTGTTGTCAGTAGTACTGGTGCTTAAATTTGAGAAATGCTACAGTACCAGCCTTTGTGTATATAACTGGTATGTGCTGATAGACGGTTGTTTTCTAACTCTCCCTTGTGTATTTGTGTAAAGAATGTCAAAGGTTTGTTTGTATTTACAATGCATTAAGCATTGTAGCTATTCAGAGCCATTCTTGTTGTGCAGGTAAACTCAGTTGCCAATCTGAGGTGCTTTTTTACTTATGTTTTTTTTTATTTTTATTTTTTTTATTTTTAGAAGTGTCATTTTCCAATAGTCTATTTTGCTATGGAGAAAAATGTGTGATTCTTACTTCAAGAATATTGTTTTATGTGTTTGAACTTCATTCATTCACATTCGCAAAACTTATTTAGCAAGTATAAACATGAAGTTGTGAAGTTTAAATACTTAGATTTTCTAGTAATAACCCTATTAAAATGTGAGCTGAATCTGTTAGTGCCGATAGTCTAGTGCAGTGTTTCCCAACCCTGTTCCTGAAGGCACACCAGCAGTACACATTTTAAACCTTTTCCTAATTAAACACACATGAATAAACTCATCAGAACATTAGAAGAGACTCCAAAACCTGAAATGAATGGGTCAGATAAGGAAGATATCTAAAATAGGCACTGTTGGTCTGCCTCTAGGAACAAGGTTGGCAAACACAGATCAAGTGATCTGATCAGAACATTAAATTGCAGCTGTGTTGTGAGTCACAAATCGAGGACCTTTACCAATCCCACCCCCTTTTCTTTCTCCAACTTCACTTCATGTTGAAATATACTGCATAAATGTAAAAAAGAATTATCCAATAGTTAAAAATATCGATAAGGATCTTTAGCAGTACAAAACACAGTCTTGTACAGAGATTTAGCTATTTTTAATTTTGGTCATATGGTAACAGTATGGCTTTAAAAACTTGCACTATTGCTTTCAAAATTTCACATTTTCAGGCCCACAAAACGCAGCTGCTGTGTAAATGAATGTTCAAAATGCAGATAAATTTCAGCGTTTGAATTTTGCAGTGTAAGTGCAATAGGCCTGCCACTTATGTGACCTGTGATCTGTTTGTGAGTTGTTTACTTATTTTAACAGCATTAATTTAGACATTTTTTTTTACATACAGCAGTCATTTCCAAATAGTCTAATAAAAATACAATAGAAATCGATTTGTAAAACAAAAAGCATGGCATTTTTTGTGCTATTGGCACTGACTAGTGAAATGCTGGTACTGTGACAGCACTAGTGGCCTCTCATAGGGACCATTTAGACCTAGAATATTCTACAGAATAACGTTCAGAGGAAACAAATGCACAATATTTTCAGGAAGTTGTGAATTGTAATGTTTACTGATATTCTCTACTTGCAGGTTCGTTGTAGCCTTTGGAGATAATAACCGTTGTAGCTTAGGCTATTGCTGTTTAACCTTTATAATTGCATAGGCATCTCTATGCAATATTTAGATGTTCAATTGATTCATTTTTTCCCTCTAGTTGAGGCGTTAAACACTGTGCGTTTCAGTTGGTGTGTTGGAAATGCTTCCGCTGGATGGTTAACCGTGGATTAGCAATGGGAAATCATGCTTGGTGGGGAAAAAGTGCTGACCGAACAAATTCTGGATTTAATGTAGCATCATGGTTGTTAATCTTGAATCGGCCCCAGCGGGCAGCAAGTCAATGTGTGTGAGGTTTAGGTTTATATCTGCTGTGGGAAAGTACAGTACTGAAATACTGTATTGTGCAAAAGTGGTCTGAGGTTTGTTGTTTGGTTGCGTTCCGGTGGTCTATGCAGCAACGCTTTCCTTTTCTTCTCACAGTTTGTGGAGTGAAGCAATTGTGGAAATTCTTATTGTGGACAAGGATTAAACAGGGCATATTTAGCATCCCAAGCTGGGAATATTAGGACAGCTGAGATTAATAGTCTCCTGTGGTGGTAATTAAGGAGCAAGGCTCATGCTTATGTATGTTGTGAGCGGTTCCTCATAGATTTGCTTTATGGTAAATAACTTTAGTTTCTCTAACCTCTTAGAGAATGCTATAATTAACCATTATGACTACCTTAACCAGTCTGGTTGTTTTAACTGATCTCTGGTGTGTTTTTAATGCCTTAAAGGCTGTTTTCATACTTTATTCCAGTTTTTTTAATTCTGCCTTTTTTCGCATTGTAGTTTTGCATCAAAAATGTGGTCAAGACCGTATCTGGTCTACTTAAAGCAAACTCTATTCCTAACGGTAGTGATTTCATTTGTTGGGTAACACTTTACTTGAAGCCTTTATGGCAACACCGGCTCATTGAAAATTAGTGCTTCAGCCTACATTTTTTTGTCAGATCGCCAAAAACGTACTTCAACATACATTTTTACTCCAGTTTTTATGTAAAATAAACACTAGAGTGCAGTATGAAGCCAAAAATATTTGTTCTTTTTTCACAATCATGGACCCTTTTCACAAGCCTGTTATGACGTTTTTAACAGTCATCATAATTTTAAATCCTTAATTTTTAATATTCAGATTTTTTTTTAACCTATAAACATTTATATGTATTTATGCATGCAGAATATCATCTTTGCTTCAAATTACAAAAAAATAAATAAATAACCGCTCGTGCGTTTTCTTATGCAGCGGTTATTGGACAGGACAGTAGATTTGACGTTATTCTCTTCTCTGGCTGCCGTCATCAGTCTCACATTATTTATTTCCTTTTTCTAAACATCTTTACAATATCGTGGAGATTTTCCTTTTATTATTTGAGTAAATAAGATTGTAAACAATTGTTTTTTTTACTCTCGTATTCACTGCGCTCCAAGTTTTTCTCAACTATGACGACTTCCGCTACTGAGAAACCCGAAAATGTGAACAGGGTTTATGATAGTTACAGGAACATATTATCAAAAAATTAAGGATTATTTTCATGCAGTTCTTTGCACATCTATGTTTATCATTTGTATGTTTTTAAATCTCTATATTGACAAATTTTCTGGTGTGGTTAGTTTGCTCGGTAGCTCACTTTGTACGGTAAAGTTGTACTGTAGTGTACTCTTAGGGGCCGATCACACTGAACGTCTTTTTTGAATGCTTTACTTACGGCCGTGAGCATTTTGTGCGCTGCTTATGCACCCTGTTAGCCTCACGTTTTAATCACCTGCTGCGCCTCATGTTTTTGCCTTTGTGTGCCGTGCTCTCGCAGTTGAAAAAAAGTAAACCGAGAGGAAAAAGTACTTTACGACAGTCGCGTCCGTTTCATTCTCCAATCAAATGAAAGCAGAGGCAGGGTTTCCATTGAGGTGTCTGAAGTGTTTATGTTGTCAAGTCAACTACCGAGGTTTTTAAAGATCCCTGAGAGACTAGCGGTCGCTGTTTTGAGTTATCCGGTGCTGCTTGACTTCACAATACTTAAATATCACAATATTAATAAATAGTAAAATTCTAACAATATCAACAGCAACACTCGCAAACAATACCCAGCTGATTCAGTCGTTGCCTATCGACATAAAAATCACACCGCGCTTCTTTTTTTCCTGTCAACAAAAAAAGCAGTGACGTGTGTTCCTTTGTCTTGTGAGCATGAACAAAAAGGACGTGTATCTGAAATGGACAACAAAACACACCCTATGTAACGCATTTCAGATTCGATAAATATAATCAGCGCCCTCTAGTGAAATGTCAACTAAAGTATGCAACAATACGTACTCAGAGCAAAGTATTCAGCAACTTTTAGCAGAAATGTAGGCATGTATTTTCAATGAGCCTGGGTTGCTTTTTGGTGTTTTAATAATAATTGAAACCAGTTTTTGGTTATTATCAATAATTGAATATAAAGTTTTCAGAGTGAAATGAAGCATATTAGAATGCAGATCAATGTAATTCATGCTATGAGAACAAAAATGCCCTGAATAGTTTTTTGTTTTGTAAGATAAGATAAAAGTTGTAGTTCACTCAAAAATGAAAATTTTGTCATTTACTCAAGCTTGTTCTAGCTTGTTTCAAATAGGGCTGGGCGATACAGCTAAAAAAAAAAAAACATCACGAAATACTGTTGAACATCATCCGGTATCGAAAACTATTGAATCTTTTTTTTTACAATACATATAAGTATATTAGGATTAATTAATTTATTTAACCATTTATTTAAAGTTAAAAAATCTCTTGTTGCGTAAAGCCGTGCGCTTTGATTGAAAATAACCCTAAGCTTATTGGCATTTTTTCAAAGGCGCATGCTCAGCAGCCACATTTTAATAAAGCTATAGCGCTTCATACTGAAACTTCATACCGAACATTTTTTATTGGTATTGACAATAGTGTTCGGTCAATTAATACCAATACCCTTTTATCAGCCCAGCCCTAGTTGCAAACATGTTTGAGTTTCTTCTGTTGAACATACAGACACACTAAACTGAAGAATGTTCTATACAACAGCCATTGACTTGCATAGAGTTTACTGGTGCTACTGTGGATGTTCCACTCCCAGCATTCTACAATGTATCTTGTTTTGTGTTCAACAGAAGTTCAACCACATGAATGTAAGCAAAGGATGAGGAAATTGGATGAACGGTCAAGAACTATCATTAAATCAAGAGTCTCAAATCTTAAATAAATATAGCCAGAGCAAATCACAAGTGTGTTTTTGAACAGGCCAACAAAAGCAAGTTATTATTGGGCGAGCTTACCGTTTTTCACTCTTAATAATGAAATCCGCTTGCGTTATTTCTAAATAAATCTACCATTTAGGGTTGCGAGGCATAATTATTCCTTTAAAAATATTTTTTGAATGCAGTATGGGTTAAATTTCAGGTAAAGTGTTTCTTTTTTATGTTTGTTTTTGGATAATTGACATTAGTTTTCAGGTCTGGCAGTTAACGGTCGTCTTTTACCTCATACTTTTTGTACTACATTTTTTACTCAGAGTTTGTTTTTTTACCTCAGGCCCCAAACAAAAGCAAGAACATTTCAGAATAGGAACAAATTACAGGAACAAGCCGTTGAGGAAACATTCAGTATTATATATCAGGAAATAGTGTTTTTGGGCGTGATATTTTGTGTGGTTGTGAAAAAAAGGAATATAAAGGAAAACAGTTTGTACTTATTGAGTAACTGAGTGAATGCACTTTTATTTTCAGGGCACCGATCGCTCTATGTAAAGGAATATTAATTGATGTGTAAAGTAATGTGTGAAACGAGATGTGACGAATAACTAAAAACTAAAAAAAACGTGGCAAATGCTGTTTGGATTTCTACAGTTTCTATTCTCAGTTCAGCAAGGAAAAGCTCATCGTACATAAATATGCAATAAAATGCATCACCAGCACTAACTCCAAGCTTTGTGAAAATCCAAATCTTAACAGTCTCAATTGCCGACAGTGGTTTGTTTTTTTAAAGGTAATGTGAAATAAGGCTACCGTGGTTTAAAATCCAGTCTGATGATTTTGCTGTACATTTGCAGGCTGATATTTCTGTGGTAGTGAAGAGAGTGACTGACCGTGGTGGTGTTTATTGCTTAAGCCTTACTCAGAGATAGATAAATAATGTGTATATATAAATGTATTAAGAACAAATTTAATTTTTTGTAACGATTGAGCTTGAACTTTATTTGTAATAAAAGTTTTTGGCCCTAATTTGTTTGAGTTCTGTCCTTTTATTTCTCATAAGGTCTTGTTTTACAGTTTGGGATCTTTTGATATGAAAGAATTGTAGGTTTAATCGGAAAACAACTAATAATTCTAACAATAATAAGACATTTGTCTTAAGAACCAAACTCAACATATCAGAGGAGTTTCTTTAATAATGAAGAATATTTCAAATTGCCAAATTAATTACATCTAGATTTTTTTTGCAGAATTTTTGATTAAATAAAAACATGTTTTTCTTGCCTGACAAGAATATATTTCTAAAAGCGATTAAATGTACAAAGTTTTTAGTTTTAGTTATTTTAAAGGTTTCTATTTTCAACATCCATTACAATGAAAAATACAAAAGCTCCACATTTAACACCTAACATGCTTTGCCTACCTCTAAACAAGCACACAAAGGTCATTCTAAGTAACTTATTAACTTAATGAGTAGATTTACATGCTAAAGTAACTTTCAATGGCCAGAATGACACAACGGTTCTGTAGACATTGGATCATTTTCAGTGTTTGACTGCATCAAATGCTAAGTTAAACACAGCATTTCCAATGCAATCGGTTTGTAACTTTTTGATTTAGTGGCTAATTCATATGAATCTTACAATCTAATTCTTAAAATTTAGTACGATTTGCTCATCACCCAATGATGGTTGGGTGCCACAGTTCCTTTTTAAATTATAAGAATTCATACGAATTAGCCACTAAACTGACAAAACGTAAAATACTCATGAGATCTGATCTTTTTTTTTTTACTTGCAAAAGTTTTAAGTCAGACCTGCATGCTTCTCAACTTAAAAAATACATATAAACAGTGTTGGGGGAAAGTTACTTTCGAAAGTAAGGCATTACAATATTGAGTTACTCCCCCAAAAAGTATTACATTGTGTTACAAATGACTTTATATGGTAATACGTTACATTTCTTTTGTGTTACTATTTTTTTAAATTGGAGGCTTGATCTCTTTCTGAACTTGCAGGGATTTTTTTCTTTGCAGGGAAACCTTTTCCTTTTTATTCCATTTTTTCAAAACAATCATTGCAGAAATTTAAAGCTCTGGCCTGCCGTCTTGGTTTCTGTTACCACAGGGAGTAAATTCTGTCATTGTGTATGTGATTTAAAGTGACTACATTAAATTCAATTCAGCAATTTATTTCTAAAAGCTAATTATACTGAAAAGTAACTTGCATTACATTTTTTAAAACTCAAATATTACTACTTTACTCGTTACTTAGAATAGTATTACTATTACATAACTTTTGTTACTTATAATTCGTTACTACAAAAATAATATATAAAAGAATTTTCTGTAAATACTTTTTAAAAATAATATATATACACACAACAGTTCTGTCTGGTTCTCGAATCTGATTGGCTGATAGCTGTGATATATTTAAGTAATATCAGCACCCATACAGCTTTTTAGCCTTTGTGTATTACTCCGCCCACATACAGCCAGCAACAAGCAGATACTACAAATCTAAAGTTTCATTAGAAGCTTTAAAAGAAGCTTGCTCGGCTGTTTAACTGTCAGCCTATGACTTGAATTCAATGCGGAGGAAAGTAGTTCCTCATACAAAAGGGTTTGTGAGACTCCATGTTTGATTTTGTTTTTATATACACAATTATGCCTGTTGTGTAAACACAATATCACACTCGTAACAGTGTAATATGGCTGTGGCCTCGTGCCAACGCACACTTCCCACCAGTGCCAATATACAGCCCTATCGCACTGTTACGAGTGTGTGTGTATGTATGTGTGTATATATATATATACACACACACACACACACATATATATATATATATATATATATATATATATATATATAATTTTTAAATATTAAATATACATACATATATATATATATATATATATATATATATATATATATATATATATCTACACACATATACATATACATATATATATATATATATATATATACATATATATATATACATATACATATATATACATATATATACATATATATATATATATATATATACACATATACATATATACACACATATATATATATATACACATACACATATACATACATATATATATATATATATATATATATATATATATATATATATATATATATATATATATATATATATATATATATATATATACATATACACATACACACATACATACATACACACGAAATCAGTAAATAATACCTCAGAGTGTTTAAAAGAAACACATCTGATCAGTTCACCAGTGTTGAAGGACACTTGTGTATATTTAATGGAAAATGCACTGGAAATGTTTCAGTGTATTTTATATTTTCAGTGTAAATGACACATAAAATATAAAGATTATACAACGTATAAAACAGTTTATTAATTTGTATTACACAAAAATCTCATTATGAAGTCCTGAGAATACTTCAAAATCTGATCCTCGTTTTAAAATATGTAAAAAGAAACAAACACAAAGACACAAAGAAAATGAAGAGTATTAGAAACCCAATAACAACAGCACTGTGCTTGACTCAGCACTCATTAAACATGACCATTTAGGCATACGTGACTGACATGTCCATTCAAAAACAGCCCAGCAGGCTCATTACAGGTTTAGTATACAGCAGCAGTCATGATTAAAGCAGTGCAAGCAGAAACCAAGCTGTAACCAAGAAACTCTGTCACAGGAGGAAACACTGAATCTCCAGTCGATCCATAATGACTGCCACAGACAGAGAGAGGGAGCTGATTACAGCTGAGGACGGTCAGAAATGCACAGCGAATCTGTTCGTTTTCTGTGTTAGTAAATGTGTTCCTTATTAATATCTAAAAGCTTCGGACATATTTGGAATTACAGCGAGGATGCAGCCTCCATTTTCGCATTCCCCATGGATGAGTGAGTTTTCCCCTTCGGTCAGATCCATTGTTTAGGGTTGCGCAGGATCTCCAGCATTTCGGCTTCTTTAGTGCCTTTCGTGGGCTCGTGCATGTACTCCCACCTGGAATCAAACATTTATGGACCGTAAGTTTAAAATATTAAACAGTCGACAGACCCAGTAAAGAAAGAAGAGGTTCTGTTTGATAAAACTTTGAAGTTTAAAACGTATCATGAGGAATACAAAATTCTTCTGCTGTTTAAGGTTACTGTACACTGTAAAAATGCTGGGTTTCACACAATCTGTTGTCACAACACAAATCGATTAAGTTCACTTAACTGTTTTTACTTATTTGAGTGGATTGAACATAAAAAAAACTCTAGAAATGTGTTGATACAGCTCATTTTAAATAAGCAGTTTGGTCGGCACCAATAGCCAAGTGGTTAAGTGCGCTGAAATACAGCACCATGGTGCTCACGGTTAGAGGTCCTATGCAGATCCTTCCCCTCTCTCCTCTCCTAATGCTTTCCTGTCTGTTCTTTACTATCCTATCACAATAAAAGGTGAAAAGCCCCTAAAAAAAATGTGTCACTGTGGCACAGTAGGTAGCCCAATCGCCTAGCAGCAAGAAGGTTGCTGGTTCGAGCCTCGGCTAGGTCAGTTGGCGTTTCTTTGTGCAGGGCTGGATTAACCAATGGGCGTTATGAGCAGAGGCCCAGTGGCATAGCTCGTAAAGCACATGGCAACTTGTTTAGAGGCATTCGATCATGAACCCGGTTCAAATCTATCGTCGGATGAACTCATTCCTACAAGAGACTACAGACATGCGCTATGGGTGAATTGGGTAAGCAAAATTGTCCGTAATGTATGTGTGTGAATGGAAGAGTAAGGGTGTTTCCCAGTGATGAGTTGCAGCTAGAAGGGCATCGGCTCCGTGAAAACCTATGTTGGATAAGTTGGCGGTTCATTCCGCTGTGGCGACCCCAGATTAATAAAGGGACTAAGCTGAAAAGAAAATGAATGAAACATTAAATTAAATAAAAATAAGTCGTTTGAACATGCAGCAAAAAATCTTTTTTTGAGTGTAAGAGTTCATTTATTCATTTTCTTTTCGGCTTATTACCTTTTAATAATCTGGGGTTGCCACAGCAGAATGAACCGCTAACTTATCCAGCATATGTTTCACGCAGCGAATGCCCTTGCAGCTACAATCCATCACTGGGAAACATTAATACACACTCATTCTGTAAGAGTTCGTTTGTATGTACAATTATTGTGGACACATAAGAACAAAATTTCGACTGCTTTAAAGGGGTCTAACTATTCAGCTTATCGCAGGCGTGCCCAAACCTTTTATTATGAAGGGCCAAAAACCAAACTTGATTGAGGGTGGTGGGCTGAAGCTAAACTGTAAACCAAACTGTATTACATTATTTGCCATGGAAACTTTACTAATTTAATAATATTTAAAAATAAATAGGAAAAAAACAACATTTAATCGTATTAATAATAATGACTTTTTTTTTTTTTTTTTTACAATACTTTACAATACAATAAAAGCATAAACAATCTCCTTTATAACACAATGGATTTATAACACAATTTTTTTTTTTTTTTTTTTTTTTTACAAAATTAGCAATTTTTCACTCAATGGTGAAACAGATGTGTTCTATAAGTGTGGTTTTAGCAATGTGCCACACACATACTCTATGTCAACATCTAAAAATGTGCTTAAGGGTTTCATGACTCTTTAAAAAAATCCAATTAATTTACAACATTTCATTGAATCATTTCATTTCAATTTGCTTTTTGTAGTTCATCAATTAAACAAACAAATATAAGGTTATGTTAAATTAGTGACGATCTCTGTTGAAGGCATTCGCCCCAACCTTACCCATTATTCCCCCTCTCATCTCAGATGGCATGGTGGGCCAAATCAAATGTTACCATGGGCCAACTTTAGCCCTAGTTTGGGCATCACTGGCTTAATGGGTTAGTTCCCCCACAAATGAAAAGTCAATCATTAATTATTACGTCTTAACAAACACCAGAGAGCTTTATTTATCTTCAGAAAGTCTTAGAATTTGTTATTTTAGATAAATCAAGCGCTCTCTGACCCTATGTAGTCAGCAAGGGTACTGAAACATTTAAAGTCCAGAAAAAAAAAACCCAAAAAATAAAAACATTGTCAAACAATTTCAAGAGACTTCTGTAGACAACTGTAATGAAGCTATGGGAATATTTTGTCTGGTAATAAAACCTGAAATATAGAATTAATCGGCAGTATTTTCGATTTAGCATGCTCTCGTGAACATGTCCTGAAATACACAGAAAAGAAAAGTCTGAAATCGCATACTTCCATACTATATAGTACACTAAAAACAGTTTGAGAGCTGAGTAGCATGTCCTAATTTATAAAAATCGAAAGTCAGTATGCAAAAAGTACCCAGATGGACTGCTACTTCCGGCGAGATACTGAAGTGCGCAACTGATGCACGCTATGCTATCCCATGATGCACAGTGAGAGAATTCATGAATGGAAGTAAAGCAACGTGACTGATGCGAGTAGGTCATGTGATCATGACAAAATGGTGGATGTAGTATGTCCGAGTTCCATTCATACTTTTCACATTTATACTGTATAGAACATACTTTTCTAACAGCAGAGTAGTACATTTTGATTCAAATGCAGTACCTACTGTGTAGTAGGCGATTTAGGACGCAGCCATTGTTTCAGTTTTTGGCACACAAAAGTGTTCTTATAGGTTCGTAAAATGATAGTTGAACCACTGAAGTGCTTTTGGCATCTTTCTGGATCTTTTCAGGAATGTTGCCGTCTATGGAGGGTTTGCGAGCTCTCGGATTATATCTCAAATATCTTCATTTGTGTTCTGAAGATGAACGAATGCCTCATGGGTTTGGGGGCGAGGAATTTTTGACAGAATTGTATTGTTTTTTCGGTGAATCTCCTTTAAAGGTTAATTTGTTATTATATGCTGTAAATATATGCAGACATGCAAATGAGCTGCTGATGTTCCCCGCCCATTTTTCAGTAGGAGGAGCTTGTAGTGTTTTTACATTTGCTAGTCTGGGCAACAGCAAACAATAGTAACGACTGCATATATTTTAAGGTTCAAGAAACCCTCGAGTACTTTATTGAGACTTATTTAAAAACTTGAAGACAGATTTGTGTGTGTTGAGCATTAATTAAGACAACGTTAGCACCTGTTAGCTTTAATTGTGGGCAAAACTGGATCATTTTGAGCTTTTGTCAGCTAATTTCATCCTCCGGGTTTAAAATGATTATTGGGGCGAAATTAAAATCAGTGATGTAGCTCTTCACTGCAAGTGGAGTGATGACGCATCAGTATCTCCTTATTTTTCCCAGACTGAGTTTTCTTATCCTATGAGAAGACCCTGCTTCATAATTATTATGCTTTCTGATCGCCTAAAGGTTGTTTATGAGTTTGTACATTTATGTGAAGGCACAATAATATCCTGACAGTTTTAAGGGGTCAAATTATTTGCCTTTTAACTATAAGTCCCACATGCTGCTAGAAAGTGTCAGCTCATTAATTATTTATGATCATGTGCTGTGAATGCTCCTTTTGTGGTTGAAAGCAAAAGCACAGAGTTTTTGTCTGCTTTTCAATGCCCCTTTTCCAGAAGATGAAGCTTTTACAGCATGTGCAGCGCTTACTCTGGGCAACAACAAACAAAGCAATTGTATGCCTTTTAAAGTCTGCATGAACCGGAAGCTTTATTTTAGTACTGTGATGCAGTTCCTAAAGAAACTTAATATTAAATGAGAAAACAGTGGGCGTGGCTTGGTTTTTTATACTGCAAGCTGATTGGATGTAGTATAATAGGCATTTCATTCAGAAAGATCAGAAAATCGGGAGAGATATTACAACCGAACTCCTCATCTTCGCCATTTCTGTTTGTTGTCAAAACTGACAGATGGAGGGGTGTGGTTAAGTATGTTAGCCACGCCCAATACCACAGACAGACGTGATCTGAGAATTTAACTGAAAACAGGTACTCAGGACGTGCATTTTCAGATTTCAATTAAAGATTATTTTTTTTCTTAGTGACATGCACAGATTAATTGTTCACCAACAACCAGCAATGTGAGCTGACAAAATCATTATGGTTAGTTTTGATTTCCTGTAAAAATGAATGACTTTTCAGTCTAAAGGTCTTCTGAAGTTGAAACATGCAGCGTTATTCAATTATGTATTTTCCACTGAAACAGGAAGACAGGCGAGTCATATAAAAAGCTCCTAGCCTTTCTTAAATGAGCCAGTAGGTTTCTGTTTATATCTTAGCATCGGCCAGAACTGTTGACAGGTTTTGGCAGCCACAGTGTAATAGTAACGCTGAGACTGTTTAATATGAACAAAACACTATTAAAGGCAACTCAAACCAAGTAGGAAGGAATTTTCATGCTCAAAAAGCAACATTAAATACTTAAAATGCTAGAAGCAAAGAAGCTTAGGGAAGGAAAAATTATAAGTAAACCTTAAAAATTTTTTTTTATTATTTATTGTGTAACACCTGTGCTTCATTTGTAATTTGCGAGGTTCCGGAATAGATCGGGGTAACGAAGGAAGGAAGGAACAGGTAAATAAGGGGTGTTTGCTTACATATTTTTGTGTACTATGTATATTTATTAGCATGTATATATAAAAGACATACATCCATGTATACATGTACATAAATACTTATATTCATTCATTCATTTTCTTTTCGGCTTAGTCTCGTTATTAATCTGGGGTCGCCACAGCGGAATGATCCACCAACTTATCCAGCATATGTTTTACGGAGCAGATGCCCTTCAAGCCACAACCCAGTACCATCCATACACTCTTACATTCACACACATACACTACAACAAATTTAGTTTATTCAAACACCAACTGACCCAGCCAGGGCTCGAACCAGCAACCTTGCTGTGAAGCCATTGTGCTACCCACTGCGCCACCGTGCTGTCCACAAATACTTATATATAACGTAAAATTGTCATTAAATATTAAAACTTGATATAAAGATTTGTACATGATTAGTCATGATTAAGCATAAAATAGCTTTTAAATGAAATGTTCAGTACAGGAAACTATGTTTTTAAAGTTATCTAAACATAGTTCAAGAATATTCAGGGCATGAGGGTAATATGCAGCAGCTGATGTGACACACATATTTTCCTCACACAAAGTCATTTACCTTGCAGTAAGTGGCAGAGACATCAGGATGCTCTCGATGCGGGACCCCGGTGTGGCCAGACCAAATTTCACCCCTCTGTCATACACCAAATTAAACTCCACATATCTAAGAGAAACAGACAAGAGCTTTGTTAGCTGTTGAACAATTGACAAATAACATCAAAAATAAATCAAAATAAATAAATAATATATACTTAAAGAGATCTAAAATTGCACTAAAGATGCATTTGTTTTATGACAAATGCAGTAAAGCCATAATACTTTTTACATATTATTTATTACAATTCTAATCATTACTTATTTTATTCCTGTAGTGGCTACGCTGAATTTTGTGCCCAGTGTCACCAGGGTTTCTGCAGGTTTCAGCAAGTCAAAACTAAGAATTTTAAATGCATTTCAAAGACCATTATGCATGAAATTTTAGACGTACAGTATGTAAGGGCTAAACGCTAATTAAAATTGAATACAATTAACAACAAAATATTAAAAATTTAGTTTGAATCTTTTTTCATACATTTTTAAATATATCCATTCATAAACTCTATAACCCCAACCAAGATTAGAACAAAACATAGCTGTCAATTACTTCAGTCTACAATAATAGTAATTTAATAATAAAAAAATAGGTGAGTTCAGTATCCTCAGCAATAAATAAACAAATAAGGAACTTTTGAGCAAATGCTACTGTAAGGAAAGTAATTAAATGCTATTTTTTAAACAAAGTTGTATTGAGATTGGGATTCTTGGTGATTGTATGGGTGTTAATGGCCAGATTGGGTAGCTATACATGAACAAAGGCAAATTAAGACCAGTTAAAACAAGATTTTAAACCTACAAAACAACTTTTCAGTAGATGTAAGTCTTTTTACGGCCTTAAATTTAGCTCTCGAGATTTAAGACATTTTAAGACTTTAAGTCCCTGTGGAAACCCTGGTCACATGACCCTACAGAAATCAAGTAATTTGCTGATTGGATGCTTGAGACACATTTTATATTGTAAATGAAACACTTTTCCCTCATTGTTTGATTAATAGGAAGTTTAAAAGGCAGCAAGTGTCTATCATTAATCATTCACATATATATAAAATAAACATTTGACACAAAATAACTTCCATTAGAATTACTCTGTTCTGACTGGCGATTTTAGTTTAAACAGTAAAAATGTAACTAATCACTTCACTACTTCACATTAACAATAATTCATTTCAATCATTTTGAACAGGAGAAGTAAGGAACTCAGGAAAGCAGATGTTGCTAGAAGGGATACAGCTATGAAAAGCTAGCAAGAATTAATTTGTTCATTTAATCTTTCTCATCAGGGGTCGCCACAGCGGAATGAACCGCCAACTTATCAAGCATAAATATTACACAGCGGATGCCCTTCCAGCTGCAACCTACTGCAAGAATTATTATTTACTAAATTGCTCATTAATTGTACTTTGATAACATATACTTTTACCCCAACCCTCACAGCAATGTAAAAACAGTAATTATTGTTGTACGGTAATTGTATGGTTGTAATAATAGAAGTAATTCTAGGCCGCAGATGTCTCCTTCCTTTCTAGCTCCAAACATATTCGCTAGATGGCGCCATTAAGCCATGCAAAGCTTTTTTTCTGCATGTGATAGACGTATTTGAGGGAAAAACAAAAGCAATTACACATTTTAGACAATACTGAAATATATATTCAAGGAGTAAATTACATCTCTGGCCATTTAAAAAGAAATCTTAATGAACAGTATGATATATACTGGGCTCTTTCTCTTTAACTGACCTGCCTCTCCTGACCTGCTGCCAGTCCTTCTCCTCAGGGGTAAAGGAGTCATTCAGATGCTTGTAAACAATAGGCAGGTAACAAGGCACCACAGTTTTAGCGCAGCTCCTCACAAAATTAAAAACCTCGTCCTGATCAGGGGAATCCAAATCATCGAAAAAGATCCCACCAATGCCTCTCGTTTCCCCCCGGTGGCGGATGTAGAAGTAGTTGTCACACCTAGAATAGAACATATTAAAACTGTAGTGATGCTAATCTAAAGTTTATCAACACTTAATCATAATTAAAGTTTCTTTAATTGAGTATATATCTTAAAGCTTCTTCGTAGTAAGGATGACTATAATAAAAAAATAAAACCTGATGAAGTATTATACAACTTAGATCGACAAGACTTTTGTCAGGTAGTGTACTTATGTTCATCATAGCTATTATTCTTGACGCGTGAATAGGCCCTTTTTATGATACAAAATACTAAATTAAGAGGATGCCTTAAAACAAAAGAGTCGACTCACAAAAATACCACACTGGATTCTGCAAATAATGGGAAATGTTATCACTGCTTAACAGTTCAAATCCACCCAGAAGATAGAAAGCTCACAAAAAACACACACCCGCATACACACCCATAACAGCTGTAACACACCCGACTGAGCAGTGCTGGCTGCTCATTGATTACATGGCATTTGGATTACGTAATCGAATCCTAAAGTTTATAATCAAATTACATGTTTGCTTATTTACTTAATGGCAGAAAACTATGCATGATTAATTAATTCAAGATAATTATTACAAAGATCACAATAAAACTGTGGTGGCAAATGTTAGGCTGTGGTGAACTGCATGTAACATAACATATAAAATAAAATTTATTTTGAATGTTTAAGTGTTAAATATTTAATCATCATTTAATATAATAATAATTAACAACAAACAAATGTTTTAACAATTATAATGTTTTTATTTTGCTACTTTTATTTTACCAAATAACAAGCCCACTGCAGTTTTTAGATTAACCCTTGTGGAAACTTTAATATTTGATACATTTCAGATGATGACCTATACACATATACAGTTGAAGTCAGAATTATTAGCCCTCCTTTGATTTTTTTGGTCACAGTTTACAATAAGGTTCATTAGTTAATGTTAAGTAATGCATTTACTAACATGAACAAACAATGAACAATACATTTACTACAGTATTTATTCATGTTAGTAAACGTTAGTTAATGAAAATACAGTTGTTCATTGTTAGTTCATGTTGACTCATGGTGCATTAACTAATGTTAACAAGCATGGACTTGAATGTTAATAATGCATTAGTAAATGTTCAAATATGATTAATAAATGCTCTATATGTGTTGTTCATGATTAGTTCATGTTAGTAAATGCATTAACTAATGAACCTTATTGTAAAGTGTTACCATTTTTTTTCTTTTTAAATATTTCCCAAATTATGTTTAACAGAGCAAGGAAATATTCACAGTATGTCTGATACTATTTTTTCTTCTGGAGAAGATCTTATTTGTTTTATTTCGGCTAGAATAAAAGCAGTTTTTAAAAAGAATGTTAAGGTCAGAATTATCAGCCCCTTTAAGCAAATTTTTTTCAATAATCTACAAAACAAACCATCGTTATACAACAACTTGCCTAATTACCCTAAACTGCCTAGTTAACCTAATTAACCTAGTTAAGCCTTTTAATCATCACATCCCCCCCAATTGTCAATGTATAATTCACACACTGAATAAGACTACATACCACTTCTTGAAGTCTGGGTAATATTTAGGATGATGCTTGTCACAGGCTTCCTTCAGAGTCTTGTGGAAATGGGTGGCATCTTCCAAATCAATGTAAACAGGAGTGAGATCCGTTCCTCCACCAAACCACCACTGCTTTGTGCCTATAGAAAGAAGGGAGATGGAGACAGAGATGAGTGGTGCTTGCAGATAACAACATCTCTCCTCACACGACTGTAAAAGCACTCACCATCTGCTTCTTCAATCTCAAAGTATCTGTAGTTGAAGTGCACTGTGGGAATGTGGGGGTTTTTGGGGTGTATGACAGAACTCACACCCATTGCACGAAATGGCAGCTTTCCTGGAACGCAGAGATAATGATATTGTAAAACAGTATATACGACGTAACTTCCTGTCAAATTTATGAGCTAGTATGACAAACTATCAGGGAAACAGCCTTGAGACCACTGATAGTTCAGACGGAGTTCAGAAATAAATCTAGAAGCAGAACTGAAGACACAAAGATCTGGTTTCAGTCACTCTCTGGGTTCACTTTGAAACGGGAAGTCGGCGTCTCACCATCTTTTCCTTTCAGGATTTTTCCACGGCTGCGCATCTGCCTGGCGGCCTCCTCAGTAAGATTCCCATACACCACAGACACATTCACACCTGCTTTTTCAAAGATCTTGCCATCCTGCATCACACAGCTGATGCCGCCACCACCTTTAGTAAAAAACAAGAGAAACAGAGAAAGTCAAATCTGCATGAGGATTATAGAAAATGCTTCATTCATGAATGTTTTTATCTTTATTTTCAACAAAGTTAAAGCTATTTTTTTATTATGAATGCATTATGATGAATTATGATGCAAATTATGATGTAAATGTTGAAATTATATAAATTCGAAGTTATGACTAAAATGTCTTTTATAGATATTTATCTAATATTTAATATGACGCATTTCATAACTTCTATGAAATATTTAGACTCTAGTCACACTTTACAATAAGGTTCAATTGGTTCATGTAGAGGAACTTAGAATGAACAATACTTGTACAGATTTTATTAATCATAGTTCAACATTCACTAATGCATTATTAAAATCCAAAGTTGAGCTTGTTAGCATTAGGTAATGCACTGCACGTTAACAAGAACTAATGATGACTTTATTTTCATTAACTAATATTAAGCGACATGAATGTATGGTTCATTGTTTGTTAAAGTTATGACTAAAATGTCTTTCATAGATATTTATCTGATTGTATGATGCATCTCATAACTCTGATTAGATATTTAGAGTTCCTGGTCACAGTTTACAATAAGGTTCCATTAGGTAATGCATTTGATAGCTTGAACTAAGAAGAATGAACATTAAACATAGTTCAGTATTCACTAATGCATTATTGACATCCAAAGTTAAGCTTGTTAGCAACTAACAATGACTTTATTTTCACAAACTAATATTGAGACACAATAATAAATAGTGTAATAAATGTATTGTTTATGGTTTGTTTATGTTAGTAAATGAGCAATTCCATACAAATGTCAACCTTTCCATAAAAAAAGCTTCAACCAAAAAAGCCAAACCTTTTCTACATTTTTGGTGTAAGCAAGTATTTTACTGTATTTAAAAACTACTCAAAAATGTCTCAATTTCCGAACTATTATATTTGATTTACCAAAGAGACACAAGTGCTAATTTCACATTTGATGCATCACTAATGAAGTCACATTCTTAACAAAACTTGAACCTCATAAATGCAAAAAATAAAATGAAATCAATATTTTTTGTTCTATAGAGAGTCAGCTCTTATCCTTTTTATTGGCGTTGTTCTTTTGAGTTGTGCAGTTTAAGAATGTTGTATACTGTAAACTAGCAGACTTTTTTGGTCATATCCAAAACTCATGTTTATTTTCCTCATGGAAAATATGGAAAAATGTTTACAGGTTGATATTTCTCTAATCCTATGACTCTGTGGTTAGTTGTTTTGGAAAATATAAACAGATTTTTCAATGTAATTTTTAACATATACTTTCTAGTGAATTTAAGTTTTGAGTTTTTACTGCAAATGTCACATCCATAACGCTGAAATTCCTCAAACACATTAAATAAATAAACCAGTGGAACCTTAAGTGTGACCAACTTTAATTTTTTTTAATCTCCAAAATTTTGATTCTTAATATAATTAAAAGGTGGTAACATAATTATTACACCCCTGTGCTCTTTATGTGGAAATATCTTAAACAGAAATCAGGACTTTAGCCCACACTGTTTGTTCTACTTTCAACCTGTTGTGTGCCAAAAGTTATGTACTACACATTTATTGTTTCATCCAAACTAACTTGTTTTAACAACAAAACACACTAAGAAAAATTATATTAAAAAAATACAGTTTACAGTGAAAGCTTCATGATGAAATTAAAAAATATATATACATTAAAGAGCCAACCTTCCTTTCTGCTCCACCTATCCACCCTGAATGAGCCTCCATCCACCTGCTCCAGGGCTCTGCAGAAAGCCGACTGTGTCTCCATGATGAGCATCTCCATCCTTGTCGACATCTCGTCTTTCCTCTGCTCTAGGAGCTTGATGTCAGTGACTGGTGGAGACATGAACGACTTGCACCTCTCCCGAATGTCTCCGTCCTCCTCCTCAACTCTGGAGATCTTCGTTGCCATTTCTGCCCGCTGGAAGTGACTTACACCAGCCGCCAGAACACCGGTGACAGCCGCGGCTCCTGCAGCCAGAAACACGCCTTTACCGTACCGTCCGAGAGAGATCCTCCTCGGCGACGACTGGCACATCTGCCTGGTTACCGTTTTTATGAATGAGCATTTTCCTCTCGGAAGAGAAGCACTACAATTACGCAGGGTTGAGTAACGGGCTACGAAAGAGTGTACATCAGCTGTGCCATGCGCAGAGTGGGACACTCGGCACAGTCTTGCTATTGATCTCGTTGAGCTGTTAATTGTGCACAAAGCTAACGAAGTCATGCTGTCTGCTGAGCGAACACGACGCAGTCTGTCCACGAGCTGCCAATTGATAAGAGTGTCATAAATGGGTGTAAAGTAACTATATGCGCCTCCGCACGTAGCTTCTCCAACAGTTCTGCCCGCGGAGGCGTGACTTCTTGAGTTTTGAGCGAGCGTCGAGGGGTGTTATGGGAAATCGAGTTTTTTTACCATTGAGCTTCGCGTTTTTCAGACCGACGTGGACTACATATACCAAGGATGTTAAATGACATGCTAAACGTGTACTTCCGAGATTATTGAAAAGACAAGTTTTGACAATTTATATATTTCTATGCAGTTTTGGGTTTTTTTACTTGACAAGTATTTTATCTATATATAAATCGGCAGGTTGTTTATTCATAAATTGTATGTTGGTGAAAGCCATCTATAATGTTTCTCTCTCTTTCAAAAAGATGTTAGGATCTGTTTTAACCCCTTCAGACCCAAATTATGTTCCAAGTGTCTGAAAAATGGTAAAGTATGTTTCCACGGTTCTAGAGGCTCCAATAAATGATAAAAAAAATCAACAACCTTTTAGTACATAGCGTATATTCGTTGTCCATTTCAATGGACATCAGGTCAGAACAGTTCTTACTGAACATTTTATCAATATAAAATACAAAAAATAAAATAAAAATAAAAACACACACAATTGCTGGTATATTCCTGAAATTTATTTTCAAAGTCACAATGAAGACTGTAACAGTTTTACTTTAATTTTGTGTTTTTTGTTGCACCTAGATATAGATTATAATATAGATTATAATGTCTAAATAAAATATAGATTGCATCTTGTTTACAACAAACTTTATCTTCATCTTCCTCATCACTCAACATAATGTGCTCAAGAATTTTAGGATCTGTAAATTCTGCATATGAAATTGGTTCAGCAATGAATTAGTGCTTCAGTTCTTCAGCATTACTGGAGATTTAATTTCAGTTACAGATTTTGAACCCATTGTACATCCTAATGGACAGACATATTTGAAGGAAAAAAATTCTGATATAGCTTGCAATGTTACAAAAGATTTTAAACTTTAATTAGTAAGTGCAATCCCTCTTTTTTACATACAATCTATCAAATATTGGTTATCATATCCATAAATATGAATAAAAACATTGTTAATGTGGCTTATGTTTGTGTCTGGAGTGAACTGGTGCCATGCTGCTTTTCAGTGTAGTGGATTTATTAAGCCTTACTGCCATTTGATTGGATGACAATCGCCCACTCTCATGGACTGCAGCCTTTAAATTAGTTAGAATGCTCAGGAACCACAAAAACACGGGCTGACATGTGATGTGTGAACCTCAACCTTGACACAATCTACACGGTAAAAGTGCTATAGAAATAAAGATGAAATGAATTGAACTGAATATTTGCATGGGTGCTATAAAAATGTGTTTTAGAAAAGCAGCAAAAAATCTGTGCAGTTTAAGGTTTTTACTTGCCAATCATTTATTCATTTATCCATCCATCAATGTATTCACTCATTCATTCATGACATTATGTGAACCCTTGGTTTTTATCACATATTCTGTATTAATTAATTGTATATATATATATATATATATATATATATATATATATATATATATATATATATATATATATATATATATATATATATTTTTTTTTTTTTTTTTTTTTTTTTAAGCGGGAACTCTGCAAACATTTAAAAGTACAAGTGCTGAGCATTCAGTAAGAAAGTGAAATAGAGAAGTGTCAGGGTAATAAAAATATTATTATTAACTATGTAAATACTTGAAATAAACTATGAATAAACATTTTTATGCATAACGATTTGGCCAAACAAGTAAACCACATTGTCTTTGTTGTGCCTTTTTATTTTTCCACTAACTGTATCACAGATAAAAATCTGGCTGGATCTCCCGTCTACATTTACAGAGTCTGCGCATGCGCGCGCACCACGACAGGCCGTGTTGTGCGTCTCTATAGCAACACCTGTTACATGGTCCTTTGAAGGCGAGGATCAGCCGAGGATTAGAGCTGCTCTCTACTGTACAGGTGTAGCGCATAGAGACCCGCTCTCGGATATATATATAGAGAGAGCGGATAATGAATTGACACAATTTTTTGCCCTCAGCGCAAGGCAACACCGTGCAGAAGTTCTGAAGGTAAGAGTATGCATCTTGAGGCGCGGGAAAATAATATAACTGAAAGCAAACGAGTAGGTCAGTTTTACTATAAACATAGAAGACCACCAGGGTTTATGTCGACATATTAACACTACACTGCATGTTAAACTGAAACAACAAACCATTTGGAAATTGTCCATTTCTTTGGATTTAAAATGTAAAGTTGTATGTATGTAAAATGTAAAGTTATGTGTATGAGCAAAACGTTAAATTTGTTTTGTTCTGCAAACTAATGGTTATTTTTTTTCTTAATGTAATATAATAAATGTTTGAACATGAAAAATAGAATTGGTCAAAATAACAAAAGATGCCATGTCTCAAAATATATTCATTGTTAAACAACACAATACCAATTTGATAAATGTTAAGAAAACAAACGTTTAATGGAGTAACCCTGGTATTCATCCACACTCAGTAACTAAAACATTTTACATGTCATCAAAAGAAACACAGATTAGTTGTATACCATCTTTTTATCAAAATAAGAGGAAATAACTATCCAAAATTTAAAAGAAAGAGGTCATGATTCTATATATTACAATTTTATGTATACATATATAAGAATGGTGTAGATATGTGCTGTGTAGTTTGCATTGTTGTTGAATGCCTTGTTGATGGGGAGAAAAGGGAAATAAAATCAATAAACATATTGAAAAAAAAAACTAAAACATTTGTTATTTGGACAAATTGTCATTATAAAATGCCCAAATTACAGTATTTTTATGTGGAGAAATTTCTATTGGAATAATAGAATTTGACTATAACAAATAATGTACTGACAGATTTAGCAGATTGTTTGCATTTTCGTTTCTTTAGCACATCAAATCAAACTAAATATATTTTTTTCCTTGGCAACTTGCTAAAATAAGTATATGCATATTTTTTGTTTGATTTTATTACAGATCTGACACTCAATTCAAGAGACATCACAATCTAATGAACTTTATCTCTTTATATACACGTCCACCTCAACAAACCAGCTAACATATTTATGTCCCCCCTATGTGATTTTAATCTCTGCGATGATGTAATTAAGTTAAATTGAGAATTAATACTGATCAAATTTGTCAATAAAATCATTAATAAATAATTATCATTTCAAATAATTCTAAATCTCGTCTAGTAAAATTCAGATTTCTAAATAGTCATTTAAAGATAAGTAGATTTTTTGTTTTAGAATAATCTAGTGATTTTTCTCCGTTGTTTTAGTGAGGATCCTTCCATGGTGAGAAACTGGGGACAGAATGAGTGTTTCTGCAGTAAAAAACGCTGTGGATGAGTATGAGGATGACTTTGAGAAAGATCTGGACTGGCTTATCAGCGAGGAGAGCAAGAGCGAGGAACAGGTAAGCTAGTGAATACACAATGATGGCAGAAACAGCTTCATATCTCGAAGACAGTGTGTTTGGTATTGCATTACACAGACGCCGTACCCGTGCGTGTGTGTGAAATCCACCCCGCTGACACAGATCCATACACACTTTCACTCACCCAGAGAACTATGTCTCATTGCGTTGCATTATTCAGCACATACACTCTATGTATCTGATTCGGCCTTCAGAGAACACACTCTCCTTAGAGGATTAATTCAGCCAATTTATTTACCATTTACTCACCCTCAAGTGTTGTTTCCTAACCTTTTTGAGTTTCTTTCCTCTGTTGAAAACACAAGAACATATTCTGAAGAATGTTGGAGACTGGTAGGTGTAGTGGAAATAAAATACAATGGAAGTCTACTGGCTTTCTACATTCTTTAAAATATCTTTGTTTGTGTGCAACAGAAGAAAGAAACCCAAACAGGTTTTGTGAAGGGAGAGTATATCATGAATTTAATCCACTTGATGGCACATTTTTTTGCATTGTGTTTCTTATTCTGCCTTTCTCATACATTATTTTCTTCAACAAAGGATCCAGATGATGATGACATTGAAGCTCAGATAGACAAAGAACTGGAAGAAGATGATTTTAAAGATGTGCTGAACCAGCACAAAGAAATGGATGATGAGGAAGGGGGTGAAAGGTGGCCGACGCCTATGGAGCCATTAGAGGATACGGTAGATCCTGACAGGGACGAGCTTATAACATCTCCACACTTACAGAACGACGATGAAGACCTTGATGATGAAAAGAAGTATATTTTGGATAAAATTCAAGAGGCTAACAAGCAACTCCAGGACCAGGATCCTCCAGACCAGATGCGGCGCAGACGCCTCCAGTTTAAAGACACTCTGGTTGACCTGGTGGTTCCTGCTCATGAGTTTGATGCTCAAGAAAGCAACATCGCCTCTTTTGGAGACGTAGAGGAAGAGCAAGAGGTGTCCGGACAAATGCAGAGACTGAGGATCTCTCAAAGAGAAGAGAACCAGAACAAGGACGGTCCTGAGGATGAGCACAATGAGGGAGGAAAAGAAGGACGAGTTTTAATTGAAAAAGATGGAAAGTTTGATCTGGTGAGTCTTAAGGAAGTAGAAAGTCAAGGGTTGCTTCCTCCATTGCCAGTTTCTCACAACGACAATCAACGAGCGCCTTTACGACAAACTGAGTCTGGTCAGCATCTCAATAAAAGTCCAGTGTCCTCGCCGAGGCAGAATTTGACTTCACCTTTTCCCCCAAGTAATGAATCTCTGTACATTCCCAAGCCTCCACCGAAGCACAGAAATAGGCCTAGTTCTGCCAGGCCGTCCCAAAGGGGAACATGGGTGCAAGGCACCAAGCGAAGGGTCCAGTCTGCAAATGGAGCTCCTTCACATGCCACTTTCACCCTGTCGCCACAGCAGAAAGAATTACTGGCCAAACTTCAGCAGCGCAGGGAGAGGCAAGCCAAAGAGGTGAACATAAAAATTATTTCAGTTGTATTGAAATTAAAATGTACAAAATGTACACATTTGCTTATTAGGCTTTTAATTTACCCACTCTCTGGTCCTTTGTGACTTAGATGTAGAACATTAAAGGTATAGCTCACTCAAAAATTACAATTTTGTCATCGTTAACTATTTCTTCTGTTAACAGGGTCTTAAAAAGTCTTAAAGTGTCTTAAATTTCAGAAAAAAAAATTTTAGGCCTTAAAAATCTTAAATTCATTAAAATATTTTGTTGTATGTCTTAAATTTTCCTTTGTCCAAGTAAAACTTGGTCCGACATCCATCCAATCACCAGCATCACAATACATCTTAATAAAATCAGGGAGAGAAAACTAAAAACAATTACACAGTTCCTCCTAATAATAACAAAAATGCATTAGGTTGAATAGAAGTTACACTCAATCAATTTGGACTAAAAACCAACAAATACAGTTGAAGTCAGAATTATTAGCCCCTCTTTGATTTTCTTTTTTATATATATGATGTTTAAAAGAGCAATGAATTATTACAGTATGTCTGATAATATTTTTTATTCTGGAGAAAGTCTTATTTGTTTTATTTCGACTTGAATAAAAGCAGTTTTTAATTTTTTAAACACTATTTTAAGGACAAAATTATTAGCCCCTTTATGCTATTTTTTTGATAGGCTACAGAACAAACCATCATTGAACAATAACTTGCATAATTACCCTAACCTACATAGTTAGCCTAATTAAGCTGGTTAAGGCTTTAAATGTCACTCGAAAAATATCTAGTCAAATGTTATTTACTGTCATCATGACAAAGATAAAATAAATCAGTTATTAGAAATGAGTTATTAAAACTATTAAGTTTAGAAATGTGTTGAGAAAAATCTTCTCTCTGTTAAACAGAAATTGGGGAAAAAAATAAACGGGGTCTAATAATTCAGGGGGCTAAAAATTCTGACTTCAACTGTATATACTTTTGATTATTTATGTAAATGCCTCTACAATAAATTTACTTTTAATGCTAAAGGTGTCATTTAAAAAAAGAAATATTATGTTGAAAATAGTGTATACTGTACAACTACAATTTTCTTGTTTTGACACATTAAAACATGTTGCTAAGAAATAATTACATAAGAATTTTTTGTGGCAACCTTAAAAGGTCTTTAAAAGTCTTAAATTGGTTAATTTGACGATTAAAAAGTCTTAAATGGTTAAACACGAAGATATTTTGAAGAATTTTGAGAAAACAGCTACTGAATTCTATAAAATGTTTTGTTTCTACTGTGGATGTAAATGGCTCTTTTTTCAACATTCTTTAGAATATCTTCGTGTTTAACCATTTAAGACTTTTTAATCGTCAAATTAACAAATTTAAGACATTTTATTGTACATTACAACACACACGTCCTCCCTCTCCTCTGTAAACACACAACATCAGTTCATAAGTGTTCGCGCACATACATTATTATGTGACAGGAAGCTAATAATAGTCATACTGTATTTTCAGGAGGGACAGGTATTCATTTTATTTTAGCTGTATATGTTCAAACCTATATAGACTTTCAAAGTGGCAATATCCATTGATTTGCATTTCATGAATCAGAGAGGACCTCAGTTTAAGTTAAAACTCTTCTCTAAAGTTGATTTACATTTTGGCCTGAGGATTAACATTAGATTTTCTGAATTTTTCCCTGCATCTTTTGGTTTTCTTTTTAAGGATGAGATGAAGAAAAGGGAAGAGGAGGAGCAGAAGCGTCAGGAGAATGAGATCGCCTTCCAGTCGTGGCTCATGAGGAAGAGGGAGCAGCTGCTGGAGGAGAGGAGAGTTCACAAAGCCCAGGAAATGGAGAGGATGAGCTGCAGGGTATGTCCACTAGGAGGAGCCCTGTATCCATTAGAATAGATGTTTAACTGGAGTTTGTAATCATTTAGTTGTCAAGAACAGCCAAATTAAATCATCAGTCTAAAATATAAAAGCTTCATACTTTCATTATTTTTAAATTCTTTCTGATTTGTTTGATTTAATTATAATTAGGGACAAGATAGACAGTATATAGACATAGTTCATTCATTCATTCATTTTCTTGTCGGCTTAGTCCCTTTATTAATCTGGGGTTGCCACAGCGGAATGAACCGCCAACTTATCCAGCAAATTTTTACGCAGCGGATGCCCTTCCAACCGCAACCCATCTCTGGGAAACATCCACACACACATTCACACACACACTCATACACTACGGACAACTTACCATACCCAATTCACCTGTGCTGCATGTCTTTGGACTGTGGGGGAAACCGGAGCACCTGGAGGAAACCCACGCGAAGGCAGGGAGAACATGCAAACTCCGACATAGTTCATATTAAAGCTAATTGTTTTCCATATAATGGCTTAATAATTTAAAAATGTTTAATTTTAATAGATTTACAATCATTTGGATTTTGTAAAATAGTTTTTTTTATCGTTAGTCTGCATTTATTCGATCAAAGAGTTAAAGATTAATTATATTACAATTTAAAACAAATGTTTCCAATTTAATATATTTTAAAATCAAATTCTAAAAGCTAAAATTTCAGACTCAATACTCCAGTTTTCAGTGTCACATGATCCAATAGAAATCATTCTAATATGCTGATTTGGTGTTTAAGCAGACAGTTATTTTAGAAAATTAAGAACGCATTCATAAGTCCATTGACTTATCAATTATAATCACTGGCTTGATGCCATTAAAAGACTGTCACTATAATTGCTGCTGTTGTTCTGGCAGAGGGACTGTGGCGACCCCGAGGAGGCTTTTAAAATTTGGCTCCAGAAGAAACAAGAACAGCAGTTCAAAGACAAGCAGCTAGAAGACATGAAGAGACTGGAAAAAGACAGCGGCTTTTGCCTGCATAGCCGGGAGGAGAGCGAGAAGGCCTTCAGACAGTGAGTTCAGACCTCATACAGTATACAGAGCAATTGAGACCCTGATTTTTGATGTTTCATAAACAAATTTTTCAGTGTATTGTGATCCAAAAGGATCCAGAATACACTTTTAAATGTTTCTTTTCTCACACTTTATACATTTATGTCTGGAGATTTCATATACAAGACATTTATTTAAAGGCTGATTTCTCAAAATGAGTTTTGTCTCCTGCACTGAGCCACAAATATACATTTCAGCAGCACCTGCACAGACTAGACGTTACAGTTTTATTCCTATTTGTATTCTGTTTTTTAACAGAGGGATATATTCATACATTTATTTTCTGAGTGTTCAGAAATGAATATGATAAATATTTGATAAAAAGAGACAGCCGAAATCCCATCTGTAAATGCCTTTGACTCTAAGATGAATAAAAAAGAACATTTCAAATGCGGCATCATCCGATGTTCAGATTTTTGTTCTTGAAAAATATGCAAATTAGTGCATATTTAATAAAATAAATGAACCATTTGCATATTTAAATATCAAACTCACGTTGTAAAAGTAATGTTCACAACCCTTAAAAGGATAGCTCACCAAAAAATGAAAAATCACTATTCATTTACTCTCCCTTTACTTGTTTCTAACTGACTTGACTTTCTTTTCTAAGTTGAACACAAAAGAAGATATTTCAAGAAAACTGCAAGCCTGTAACCATTGACTTCCATACTGTACATAGTATTTGTTTTTCTCTCTGGAAGTCAATGGTTACAGGTTTCCAGCTTTTTTCTTAGAAATATATATTTCCTTTTGAGTTCCACAGAAGAAAGAAACAGAAAGGTTTATAACCACCTGAGGATGAGTAAATAGTTAGTCAATTTACATTTTTGGGTGAACTATATCCCTTCAATGCATTCTGTCAACTGGGTTGGTGTCGTGGTGATAACAATCAGTGCATTTTTCCCCATCCATCTGCAGCGCCTATCCTTAAAACCAACGTGAAGCACCTTCTCTTGCTCTTTTGCGCAACAGGTGGTTGAGACGGAAGCGCTCAGAGAAAAGAGCGGAACATCAGTTGGCTCGAGAGCGCTCCCGCAGGCTCATGCTGGAGGAGAGAAGAGCGAGACGCATGCATGACCTCCTCTGCACCGTCAATGAGATCAAACCCTTCCGATTTAGCGACCCATACCGCTACTGATCACCCCAAACACACACTCAAAAATATATTTTTGCTGCTTGTTTAAACTACATATTTTAAAATGAGCTGAATCAACACAATTATTCAGGTTTTTAGGGGGACAACTTAATTGTTTTACACTTAAATGTGTAAGTACTATTAAGTTAACGTAACTGATTTGTGTTGTGTTGGGAATTGTGTGGAATCCAGTATTTTTTCAGTGCACGTGAACACTGTCACAGCCTGAAGCTCCTCCAGTTCAGCCATTATCACCATGCTTCAGGAACCACCTATTCATCTGTATATGTGGTGAGTACAGTTGTCTCATCCCTCTTGATACAGTGGATGAAAGAGCATGTGGTTGGGAAACACAAACAGGAGCTCTCTTTTATTCATTTTCCATTCAGCCGTTTTTAATATTCAGAGATCAAACAGGTGCTTGAGTGGATGTTCCTGTTCCAGCGGCCTTAGGCACTTAAAATAATTGATACTCCAGGATGATTTAATGGAGTTTTGCATAAAATGCTGAATCATCAGATATCTTCATTTTGTGTTAGCTGGCTATCTTCTAGATTTGCCACTTATCTGCTGGCACAGCTACACAGAGGAAACTATATTAATGCAGCAGTTTGGTGATCTATAGTATTTGTGGGAAGTTGCACTTGAACACTTTTGGGATAGTAAATGTTTTATTCCCTCTAAAACAATTTTAATTAGCATGTAATTATACCCCTTATATTAATTATAGCTGAACTATATAGATTTTTTTTGCATTTTTAAAATATACTTGATATCTACTGGATGATTGATGCTGTGGATGATGTGTTTAAAATGGTGAAAGCATGAAAGAAAAATCATGACCAACCACTGTTCCTATACTTTGCCTTATACATTCATATGGATTGACATTGATATCTGAATGTTGATGAAAATGTCGGTTATTCATCCTATTTGTGCCACAGGCATTGTAAATTGTTGGTCCTTGTCTGATGTTCATCATCCTGTTTTTTTCTTATTTTGATATTGTACTAGAAATCAGGATATCAAAAATGGTTGATTTCACAACTCTCCTCAAAATAAAAAAAGTAAAGTTTTTGAATATTTATCTTGTGTTTGCATATGACTGATATTTCCGTGATAATTGACGTTTTTATCATGAAGAGCTATAATAAGTTTAGTGTATTACTGTATTATATAAATGTTCAGAGTAAAAAAAAAATCTAATAAAGAAAATTGCAGAAGTTACACTTATAAATATGTCAAATAATACTATAAAAGTTACAATTACAAAGTACACTTGAAACTATGAGTGTTTACATGTGAATATTGCTCCTTTTTGATGTGTGGCTTGATGCCTTCCTTATAGGTTCCTTTGGATTAAACCATCTCCCAAATAAATGCTACAGTTAAGGGTCACGTTAAAATGTATCAATATTATATACATATACAAAAAGGATCATGACATAAATAGACACAAAACCAGAGTGCTCATTTGTAGATTGCAAGGAAAACTACATTACCCGGCATTCTTATAGTGCGCCTGCGCAGAACTCCATTTGCCGCTAATGAGTCGTTGAGGATGCAATGCTCCATAGCAACATCAGTACCAACGGAGGAGCGCCGTAGCGGACGACCTGGGATAAATATCCAGAGAATCTCTGAAACAGGTGCTGCATGCGGACAGCATGGACGACCAGAAGGTAAGAGGAAATCATCGTTGAAGAGAAACGATGTCGGACATCTTTAAGATGAAAAAGGTGGAAGATGCTGCGCTAAAAGAGACACTAAATATGAAATGCCGTTAGCTTGTAGCTTCACTTCCAAACGTCCTCCGCCCATTGTGTTGGTGAAAATGTGTCCTTATAAAGAAGAAAGTGTAGAAGTAACAAAGTGCAGAAGTAACAACGTCGCATCTTTAAGATTTGTGACGTGTGAGTGAAAATTGCTCCAAGTTGGTCACCAAGAGCTAGTTTAAATCGCCAGAAACGCCCCGGTTCTTGCAGTTCTGTTACGTGAAACGAGTCATGTTAAATATTAAATACTGGACTCATTCCTAAGGCAAGGAAATAACGTTGCTGTTTATTCACATATGAAAAGACACAAGTAAGAGCGAATTTTGGTACAGGGTAACCCTGAACCGGCCTTTATTGTTAGGAGTGTCAGGCTTCAGGGAGGCGCCCCGGATATAAAGCCGCTTCTGTGCGGCTCTGCATCAGTCACTTAATCCAGTGCAAGTGGCCTGGTAGACATGACAATGAAACATGTCATTTCTGGTCAGCCCTGAATGAGTTAAAAATAAATATCAGCTGAATCTATTTTGCAAGTCTGTACTTGTGCCCTGAGGCAGCACTCAAAATAGACAAGGAAATAATGACGTCAGTGTCATCTGAATGACATCAAACTGATAAAGGTGCACTTCATCATCGCCAACTAAAGTTTAGTTTGTTTTTATTGAGAAAAAACAGCATCTTTTGAGTTATATTACAAGTATTCCAATTATATAACACTCTTCTAAATAAAACAGCGACTAACTGTTCAACAAAAGCAAAACAATATTCTGTTCAAATCACATACTTAATACTGTGAGATCAAAGACATGTGAATCTAAGGACTTTTTGAGCATCACAATAGGTGTAAGTGACGCAATGGCACAGTAGGTAATGCTATCGCCTCACAGCAAGAAGGTCGCTGGTTCAAGCCTCGTCTGGGTCAGTTGGCATTTCTGTGTGGAGTTTGCATGTTCTCCCTGTGTTCGCGTGGGTTTCCTCTGGGGGCTCTGGTTTCCCCCACAGTCCAAAGGCATGCGGTACAGGTGAATTGGATGGGCTAAATTGTCCGTAGTGTGTGGGTGTAAATGAGTGTGTATGGATGTTTCCCAGAGATGGGTTGCAGCTGAAAGGGCATGGGCTGCTTGGAACATATGCTGTATAAGTTACCGGTTCATTCCGCTGTGGCAACCCTAGATTAATAAAGGGACTAAGCTGAAAAGAAAATGAATGAATGAAAGAAAATAGGTGTAATACAGTTTTGATAATTAGATTTTTCCTGAGAAAATGGTAATTAGTATTGTAAATTAGCACCATGAATTAGATGCACTGTCAATCAGTCTAACAATAATTTAAATGAAAAAAACATTGCTTGGTGTAATTACGCTCACTGGCCACTTTATTAGGTACACCTGTCTGAAAAAGAGAAAACATCCAGTGAGCGGCAGTTCTGTGGACGCAAATGCCTTGTTGATGCCAGAGGTCAGAGGACAAGGGCCAGACTGGTTCCAGCTGATAGAAAGGCAACAGTAACTCAAATAACCACTTGTTACAACCTACGTCTGCAGAAATGCATCTCTGAACAACAAACAGCACATCCAACCTTGAGGCTGATGGGCTACAGCAGCAGAAGATCACACCAGGTGCCATTAAGAGTCAGGTTGTAAGCTAAGAACAGGAAACTGAGGCTAAAGTTTGCAAAGGCTCACCAAAATTGGACAATAAAAGATTGGAAAAACGTTGCCTGATCTGATGAGTCTCGATTTCTGCTGCGACATTCAAAAGAATTTAGTGTCAACAACATGAAAGCATGGATCAATCCTGTCTTGTATCAACGGTTCAGGCTGATGGTTTAGATTTTATCTTGTAAAAATAAGTACAGATCAGAATAAGAATGTTATTTCTGCTGTTTTATTCATTCATTCATTCATTTTCTTTTCGCCGTAGTCCCTTTATTAATCTGGGGTCACTAGAGTGAAATGAACAGCCAACTTCTCCAGCATAGGTTTTACGCAGCGAATGCCAATCCAGCTGCAACCCATCACTGGGAAACTCACAATCATTCACACACATACACTATGGCCAATTTTAGCTTACCCCATTCACCTGTACCACATGTCTTTAGACTTGTGAGGGAAACCGGAGCACCCGGAGGAAACCCACGCAAACACGGACCCAGCCGAGGCTCGAACCAGCAACCTTCTTGTGAGGCGAACATGCTACCCACTGCACCCCCGCGTAACCTTCTGCTGTTTAGCACATTAATATATCTGTAATGCTGAATAATGATGGGACATTCTTTATTATTTTTACATTTAATTTTCACAAAAAGTTTAATGAAACATGAAAGCAGACATTTTTACATATTTATTACAAGTAGACCTATTCTATCTTTTTTTAGTATATAACTTATTTTGGACTCCATAAAGGTCTCCTCTTTGATCCATATATAGTAGCACAGTAATAAAACCTTTAACATGTTATGCATTAACTCTATTAAATATTTATATGACTTCAATATTTATGATGGTCATAAAACTTTAAAAATATAAATGGTCATGCAGTGTTTCCTCTAGGATTTTTTTCCAGCTGTGGTGGCAGGTCTTTTACACAAATCTACGAACTACCTATGACGTATTTCAATGACAAAAGGAGAAATGTGGTGAGCGCAGTAAACGTCGGGGTCGCATTTATGTAACGTTAATACGAGCATGCCAATCTCTGCTTGCGCGCCGATTTCCTCTGCTCGTGCACTAAACTTCATGCACGCACTCAAACACGCTGCACAAGGGCAGATCTTCTTGTGCGCTCTCAAATAAACACTGCTGAAGTGCGATTTAGTGTGTTTATGTAGTGAGTATGTCTCCAACATATATTATATTTGCTAGAAATATTTATGTTTATATTTATTAAGTGAAAAGGCAATAAACTACTCAAGCAAGATAACGTTAAAGTATTTGTATGCAGAACCACAGACCTTTATCTATAAATTAAGTATAGTAATGGAAACTGTGTTCATCTTAACTGAAAGCTACGTCATGTTTGCTGGCCTCACGCATCGCGCACCTGTCAGTAAGTCAGTCAGTCTGTCAGCACTAAAGGGTTAACAAATAGCGCACAGCCCTACTACGGTAACAGAAAAGTTTGTGCTGTTATAATTCACTTACCACTTACCCGCTATTAAAAACAACAACAATGAATGAATGTTTTGAATTAATAAGAAGCTGTAATGTAGCCGTGGTGGGATGAAATTTGGTGTGGCGCCCCGCCATGGAAGAATGAATGTACCGAAAACCATGGTCATGTGTGAACTTTGTTTTTTTTTTCTTTGGTCACTTCTGCTACACTAAACGGTTACAAAAAAACAATGGTACAATTCTTCATTTATTAAGCACTTCATTTATTTAGAATATGCTTCCCAGAACAGGACATGTTTTACCCTTTTTATGATCAGGTATCCTCTAACCTATTGTTTTTTTTCTGGTTATGATGTGGCATTTCATGATTATTAAGATTGTGTTTCATGTTTCAGGAGTCACTGAGGAAGATTATCACTACACTGGCTCTGAAAAATGAGGAAATTCAAAATTTCATTTGCTCTCTAAAGCAGAGTCTGGAGAACCTAGAGGTAAACACTACAGGAGGCCAGTTCTCTTTACTCACACTTAGTTATCAAACTGTTTGATAAGTGAGAAGATGTCTTTGTCAGCTCTTAATATGTTTCAAGCACAGTGTTAATTTCGCAAAACATCAATAAGTTTGAGGACATGCTGCTTGAACTCTTGGTCACGGTGTGTGCAGGCGAATTCAAACCGAGTGCAGGAAGACCTGGAGTCAGAGTTTAGTTCGCTGCATTCGGTCCTGGATGACCTGAAAGAGGGAATGGTTACACGGATCAAGCAAGAAAGAGCCAGTCGCACATATGAGCTACAGGTGAGAGCATCGTGAAGATTCCTGTCGTACTCTGACAGCCATTTATTACAATTCAAGTGAAACCACATTCACATGCTGAACCCCATTCAGATCAGTTTGTGACATCAGTGAATCGTTTACTGGAGACTCACTCTGAATGGATCACTTGAATCAGTGAGTCGTTTACCAGAAACCCACTCTGAATGAATCATTTGCATCAGAATTGTTTGTTGACGTCTGAACAGACACCAGTCCTATTCAAATACTAATTGTTCAGTGTAGTATGTAAACCGATTTAACAGGTTAACTGATAAAATACAGCTTGTTTACGAATTAAACAGCACTTTCTCGTCTCTGAAAAGGTCACAATTTCTCCTTTTCAACATACATTTTTACTCTGCATCAGTCAAGAAATGTAATAGAGTTAATAAATAGTCAAAGTTTCTTAAAATAAAAATAAAGTGCAAATATTTAAAATATACACTTATGTGGAGTAGTAAAGTAAAATGCTTTACTGTACATCACTGCAAAAAAACTTTTTTTTTTGTCCATTTTTGCTCAGTGACTCAAAAACAAAGTAGCTCAACAATATATTTTTCCAAACCTGCTAATCTGCAGTCAATGGTCTGACGACCCAGTCTGTTTTGATTGGTCAACAGCGTACAGCTTTAGAGAGCAAATAAAGTGAGTTTTAAAAATGACTTGTTGAAATGACAAGAGTTGACTCTGAGTTGACTGTTCTTTTGAGATTCAATAACTTTATACAAGGTGCACTTTCAGATTTAAAACTTTGCGTAATGTTTTCATACACTTTGAGCTGTTACACACTGCATGAAATGTCATTTTCAAAACTTCATGAAAGGGGCACTTTATATGCTAGATTGAATGATCAGATATATCAGTAAAAGGCAGAATGAGATGGCTTAAGTGCTTGCGCGTGACTTGAATGTGTCATGTTTAGAGAGAAGGATAATAAGAAATCCTTAAGGATTACAGCGCCTGTGTATATAATCCAGATTGCATAACAAAGCATTTTACAGCACACATTTCAAACTATTAAACCTACCTTGACCTCTATCACATACTGTATGTTCTTTCGTGCAAGGGTATCATTTCAAGGCACTTCAGTTTGAAGTGTAAACTTGAAATCACAAAGTTTAAGTTAAATATCTTTTTAAATTATTTATAGTGTTTTACTCATCCATTTGTGCTAATTCTAATCTCTATGATATATAATTTACAGTTGAAAACTAGTTGTTTTTCATGATTAGTTTATTTTGTGACACATATGCAAGGCCAGACAGAATCTGCGGAAGTTTTTTGCTATTTCTGCAGAGAATTTTGGTAAAAATCTGCGGTTTTCTGCGGAATTATTTTGGGAGTGTTATAACTAAAACCTTAATATGTAAAATAAAAAGTAATAACTTTTAACTTTTATTTAATGTTTAAATTGCAAATCTAATTAGATGCAGTTTATTTGGTAAACAAAGCAAGTGTCTCACATAATATATCTACTAAAAGTCAGAAAATATTACTTTACAAACTGCACTGTGCATAAATCAAATGAACATTTTCATATTAGTCAATAATATTACTGTAATTAATTAAAAAACTGAATAAGTATAAATTTACACACATTTACTCAAGTAAATAAACAGAATTTATGATGGGCTAGAAATCTGCGGAAAATCTGAGGAAGTCTGCGTGCGCAGATTCCATGTGGGCCTACTTATATGCGAGTTATTCTTTAATAAAGTTAGTTTTACACTGTATTATATTGTCCTCCACAATTTCTATATATTATGTAAGTTATAAATTGTTATAAGAAATAATTTTGTCATATCTGATTTTTTAAAATGGTATGGTTGATCATTCACAACCAAAATTTGTGTCAATCAATTTTTATAAGGTTTTGATATAATTATTATGGCTGGATTCATTTGAAAAAAAAATCTGTAATATTGTGAAATCTATTCTATTTTAAAACAGCTTTTTAAGTTTATTTAAAACAAAAAGTGATGGAAAAGCTGTCACATGATCCTTCAGAAATAATAAAAAATATGTTGATTTGCTGCTCATAAATCTCTGCTTAGCAATCAGTAGTTTATTTAAAAAATCCTACTGCCTTCAAACTTTTTTCCAGTAATGTGCATTTATATTCTTGTCAAATTCTTTACATAAAGTTATGCTTTTAGAACACATAGCAATTACTAGAACAAGCAAACAAACAGGGAGCAAAAGTATTCAAATCAAATGCAAAAAAAAAAAGTCACTATAGTTGCAAAGGTGAACCCTCAGCACTGCAGTATGCAAAATACAAGAACACTACTACAACATTTATTATACTACTAGTAAACTGATAAAAAGTTGATATACTCAATACCTGAATTAGTGGGAAAAATCATAATAAAACATGTAACTGACTAGTAATATTGTGATTATTGTAATGATTCATTCAGAGCCAGTTGGGCGCCTGCACCAAAGCCCTGGAGAGCTCAGAAGAACTGCTGGAATTTGCCAATCAGACGCTCTGCTCATCAGAGAATGACAGCTTCACTCAGGTACTACCCACCAGTTACCTTTTTATATTTTACAAAAAGCTGTTAGTATATTTGACCAAACATTTACTATGTTAAACCATTGATGATGATTATTTGCCGGTGTGCTTTTAACTTTTTGGCACTGCTATTGCAGCTCTAACAAAGTGGCCCATTGTGTCCGACACTTGTTTTTCCCGCTAACACTCGTGCTGGTGTGACTGATGTATTGTGTTTTGTTGTGATTCAATAAGACTCAGTTCTGTCGCTCCCTATCTCTCTCTTCTTCTTTTCCCTTTCTGCTGCAGGCGGCCAAAGACATAAAGGATAGGTACTGTACAGCTTTGATTGAGCTCAGTGTAGAAACACTCCTCCCCTGAACATCCATTCATTTTTGATCTTTTACTCATTTAATATACATTACTTTTCAAAAGTTTGGGATCAGTAAGATGTTTTATTCTTTTTATTTAATTAAAAATATAGTTAGAAAATGTACAATTTGGAAATATTTTTACCATTTAAAATAACTGTGTTGAATGCAATATAAAATATATTCCTGTGATTTAAAGAGTACCACTTGATCCTTCAGAAATCATTCTAATATGATGGTCTGCTGCTCAAGAAACATTTATTATTATCATTATCAGTGTAAACAGCTGTTAGGCTGCTTCATATTTTTGTGGAAACAGCAATATAACAAATAAATGCATTTTTTTAACATTCTTTTCATCAAAGAATCAAAAGACGCCAAATTTATCACCGCTTTAACAAAACTATCAAGCAGGAAAAAAAAGTTTTTAACATTTAACTTAATCATAATACCATAGCAAATCAACATACACTACCTGATAAAAGTCAGTTGTAAACCAGTTGTAAGAGTAACAAATAGTAACTTGATTTTTAGTTGACCATTTGGAAAAAGTGGCAGAATTTTGGAAAAAGTGGCAGATTTTTCTGATGAATCATCTGTTGAACTGCGTCCCAATCATCACAAATACTGTAGAAGACCTATTGGAACCCAATTAGACCAAAGATTCTCATAGAAATCAGTTAAGTTTAATGAAGGAAACATCTTTTTCCACTGCACTATGACTTTATATTATATATACTGTACATTGTTTCTGTTAAGTGACAAGACTTTTTTTTAAGCAAAGTCAGACCTTACTGTCCTAAATAAATAATAAAAAATCAAGGCATGATCATATTTTATTTGGGTAACATAAGCATGATCTAGAGGCCTTTGCTTTTCATATAAGCCATTTCTGATACCAATTGATCAACTAGAAGTCAAGTTATTATTTGTTGTTACTAAAACTTGGATAGGTGACAAGTCTTTTGTCAGGTAGTGTATCATAATGATTTTCTGAAGGATCATGTGACACTGAAGGCTGGATTAAATGAGTCTCTGAATCACAGAAATAAATCACATTAGAAAACACATGACAATTGAAAAATATTTGAAATAGTACATTTTTGGAAAAAAAATGTCCAAAAAATGTTATATTTAGGTTCTTTTGGATCAAGTAAATATCGCCTTGGTGAGGAGGAGACACTTCTTTAAAATAATAATAATGATAATCATTAATTTTAAATTCTAATGATTAAACTAAATTCTAATCCCAAACTTTTATTTATTATTATTTTAGCAAAGTACTAGTCATTTTCCTTAGTAAATTAGTTGTTTTACTCTCTGTTTATTTCGTCTGACCCCCCCAGGGTGTGTATGTTAAGTGTGTGTACAAATGCATGGAGTGATTTATTGTGACATTTTCGTGTCATTCCCACATTCCCATTCATTCCATCACATGGGCTTAATTGTGTTTGTAGACTGACGCTGAGTGTTTACTGTGGGTCTGTGTGTCTGCAGTGTGACTATGGCTCCAGCGTTTCGTCTGTCCCTGAAAGCAAAGGCCAGTGACAGTATGAATCACATGATGGTGGACTTCACTCACGAAAGAAACCTGCTTCAGTCCATCACGTTTCTTCCAGGTCGGTGTCGAATCAATGAGGAAATGCCATAAACAATTCAAGTAAAGCCTAGTAGACACACACCTAGATTTCCCACCTACTTTGCATGTACATGGTTTTACTGGCGTCATAGCAATCTATTGAGTGTCAGATGGTGTAACAGTTTTAACTAGTACTTTCCAAATTGCACATACTGTAAATGCTGACCAATTTTCCTGGAAATTGGTTGAACAGGTTTTTTTTTGTGTGCATGAAAACACACTGTTGGCCCTATCATACGCCCGGCGCAATAAAGTACAAGACTTGTTTTGTGCGATTTGTTGCTATTTTCAGACCAATGCAACTGTAATTTTCACCTTTGCGCCACATTGTTTAAATAGCAAATCCATTTGCGCTACTTCGCCCGAGCACGTTAGTTATGCACATATGCAGGTTTAAACACATTGCTTAATACACACAGGATGTACAGCAACACACAAATATCTTTACCTATTTGTGTGTGTGTGTGTGTGTGTGTGTGTGTGTGTGTGTGTGTGTGTGTGTGTGTGTGTGGGGGTGGGTGGGGTGTGGGGGTGGGGGGGTGTTTGGGGTTATTCAAGACAATTAGCATTTGTATAATGTTATTATTATTAGCAGTATTATTTATTATATGCATATTTTAATTTGTTTTATTAAAACCAAGTTAAGATATTTCTACCTGTTGGTTTTTGGAGACTCAGTTTTTTTTGAAGATTCAGTTTTTCCACTTACAAAGTCCGCCATCTAAATAGCAAATGTGCTATGGCGCGACGCAACTGACTCTTAAAGGGAATGAGAGATGACACTCTGATTGGTTTAATGCTTGTTATGCTTAAAACACACTCATAACTCATTAAAAGAATAAGCACAACCCTGTTAGATCATGCGCCAGGGTGCAGAGCGTATTTTTCCATCCTTAAAATAGCGAAAGTGGATTCGGACATGCCCTTCATGTTTTCACACCGTGCTTTAACCTTGCACCTAGATCGTTAAATAGAGCTCTGTGTGTTTTCAATAAACCATAACAGAAGTAATTCCTAATCCTAGTAACAAAATAATAGTCTAATGTTATTTCAAGTCATTATTTTGAAGGATATGTTTACAATTATAAATGAAATCTTTACTATGAAAAAACTTTTGTAGTGTTAACATACCTTTATAGCTCAAAATGTTAATATTTGTTTTATATATAAAAGCCTGATAACATTTATTCTAATATATATATATATTAGATATAATTTTTTTTTTTTGTCCGAATTCAAAATAACTAATTCACATAGTCTTTTAATTTGTTCTTTTGCTATACTGTGTAATAATTTGCATAACCAATGTGTCATGTATTGACAAATGTCATTGAATAGTTATTGTTTACATTTTAAACATAAATACTTTCAGAATTGCCCATGTTTTAGACCAGAGATGCCCAAACTAGGGCCCGTCATCCCATCTGAGAAGAGAGAGAGAATGATGGGGATGGTTTAGAGATTGTCAATTTAAATTTAAAATGTAACCCTGTATATATTTTATTGTTAAAAGCTCACTGAAATTAAATGTTGCAATGAAATGGTGTAAATTACCCAGATTTTGATTAAATACTGTCACCTGACAAAGACTTTGGTGAGCAAGTCAGTGGCAGATTCGGCTCACCTGTGTATTCAGCATTATTTTAAAAGTGATACTGCATTAGATAATACAATTTAACACAATATTTTCTTTTTTTAATATTATGAAATAAATTAGGAAATTACCCATGGCAATTTTAATGTAAAATAGTTTGCCATATTTACCCTTGGCCCACGGCTCTCAATGATATTTGGTTTTTGGCCACTCATACGGAAAAAGTAAAAAAAAAAAGTTCTGGTTAGTATGTGTGAAGCTCTATGATATCAGATCTCTGTGTTGTTCACCTTCAGTGCCAGCCACTCCCGAAATTCATGTTGCCGATTGCCAGGTGTTTGATAACACAGTGACAGTGGTGTGGACCTTACCGGAACCCGACTCCAAAATCGACCACTACATCCTGGAGCATCGGAAAACCAATCATGAGGGTCCACCGCGGGCTCGTGAGGACTATCCCTGGATGGTGGTGGAGGGAATTAAAGAAACTGAGTACACACTCACAGGTACAGTAAATGCTGACGCATGTTCTGGATCCGATAGTTTAAATGAAGATGTAATAATCATGATGTCATTTGTTTTTCCAGGCGTTCGTTTTGACACGCGCTACATGACCTTTAGAGTGAAGGCATGTAATAAAGCAGTGGCGGGTGAATTCTCAGAGCCGGTTACTCTAGAAACACATGGTTGGTAGCTTAATGTTTGCGCACACACACACACACACACACACACACACACACACACACACACAGAGGGTAATGAGGCATGAGGTTTCTTCTCACATAGAAAAAAAGAGTCTTACACGAGTTGCAAAGCACTAGCCCTACTAAACTAAAGCTGATTCAAAGGGCACAGATGTAGCACGTCTGCCCTTTTGTGAAATACTATTTATGGTTGTCAATTTAATGTATTTTTAGTGTAATTAACGCTAAAAGAACAATAATGTGCCAGTAACTCTGTGCTCTAAAGCTGTTTTAAACATATGTAAGTTAATGTTAACAAAGCAAATTTAACAAAAATTCTTATTATTAATAATAATAATTGTTTTTGTTGTTATTATTATTATTATTATTATAGGGTCTGCAAAATACTGTGAAAATAGATAAAATATTTATCTAATAAAATCTTATTTAATTAAAAAAAAAAAAAAAAAAACTATGTCAAGGTATAAATGTTTGGACTTAAAAACACTGACTACTCCAGCCATTAGTATTTATGCTCAACTGTCTGTCTGAGGCACTAGGTTCACATTTGGATTCAGTCTAGCTAATTGAATAACAGCACCTACTGGGGAGTTGGAAATATACATACTAAGGCCTGATCTGATTTGGATAAATAACCTATGCAACACACAAATAGTTAGTTTATAAAATAAATGTAATTTACCATACCTCTCTGAAACACAGATACTGCATATACTGTTATTGTGATATTTTTCTGCCATATTATTTAGCTATATACAGTTTGGTCTAAAAAAAATTTCCACTACAAAACTACGGAACAAAATACATAAAAAATCTAAATAAAAATGTAAAAGAAATATAAAGACAAATGGTTCAAAAGGTGAAAATCAATATGTTTGCAGTCTAAATTTAATTATCAGTCCCTGGTTTATTTTTTTCCATAATTTCTATTTAACAACACATTTCTAAACATAATAGTGTTAATAACTAGTTTCTAATAACAGATTTATCTTTGCCATGATGACATTAAATCATATTTTGCTAGATATTTTTCAAGATTCAGCTTAAAGTGACATTTAAAAGCTTAACTAGGTTAATTAGGCAAGTTATGGAAATTAGGCAAGTCATTGTATAACAGTGCTTTGTTCTGTAGACAATCGAAAAAAAATATTGCTATAATAAAAATAGTGTTAAAAAAAATTCAAACCTGCTTTCATCTAGGCAAAATAAAACAAATAAGACTTTCTCCAGAAGAAAAAATATTATAGGAAAAACTGTGAAAAAATTCCTTGCTCTGTTAAACATCATTTGACAAATATTTAATTCACAGGAGGGCTAATATTTCTGACTTCAACTGTATATAAATACACACAAACCTGAATATTTTCTGGTAAATGACATTTTTTATTGCAATCACAATTTCTATAGGAAAAAGTCAGATTTTCCTCCCAGATTGTGATACATAAGAGTATAACTTTGGAAGTGTTGAAAATGTTGAATTACTCTGAAAACTAAACATACGTTAACCTCTTACCCTGATCTTCCAGCATTCGTCTTTAAGCTGGACGCAAGTTCGTCCCATCAGAACCTGAAGGTAGAGGACCTCAGTGTAGAATGGGACAGCAGTGGTGGGAAGGTTGCTGTTCAGGACATCCGTAAGGAGAAGAACAGGACCAACTCTCCTATGCATTCTCCTGCCAGGTCAGATTCACACACACACACACCTACAGATCTTATGACAGCACTGCTACTGAACAGCTGCTGCCGTTTGAGACACATCTGTTTGATCTTTGCTTCTCATCGCTGTGACAGTAGACAGAAAACAGACGGTCAGTGTGTCTAGTTTACACAAGGGGCTCAGGGCTCTGTATCGAATCACATGTCCCGACTCTATTTCATTCTGATTCACATGCACTGTTAGTTTGATTAAATTTGATCTTTTATTCCGTTTTTTATTCGATACAGTCTTTATAACAATTATACTTCTAAAAATGATTAGGGATCCCTTTATTTGATGTTCATAGATATCAGTGTTGATACTAACTAGTTACTGTAATTACTTTTAGAGAGAGATAAGATTACTATTAGACTATTTTATAATTATATTCTATAATTAGACTAGATTATTTAGAACAAAAAAAGCTGAAAAAGTCAAGTAAGGAATTACTTTTCATATTTAGGTCATTTAAATAGTTACTTATAATAAACTTGCCTTAGATACTGTAAATAATTTCAACGCTTGTATATAAATCAGTTCAGAAAGCCCATCTAAAAAGAATAATTGTATTTTTTATTATTCAAATATGTTTTTATATAATTAAACTAAATTATTTAACATTTGATATTAAATTGATTATTAATTCAGCATTTGTCAAGATGGATGAAGATGCTTAAACGATGAATTGTGAGAAAGGAATTCATAAAGATATACGCTATAAATTGAGAGAAGCAGAGTAATTGTGTATGTGCTTGTGTATGTATACAGTACATTTCCTATTCAGATAGTTTGCACAATAATCAGATTTTTTAGATCTAAAAAAGGTTAGATTGGTTTCAAAAATAGTATGATTAAGAAACAATGAAATTGGTAAGAAATTTGTCAGTAGAGTATGTGAAATATGGTTAATTAATTAGATTTTTTGTCTTTGTTTTAATACATACACTGTAAAAAAAAAAAATCCGTAATTTTACAGTTTATTCCTGGCAGCTGAGGTGCCAAATTTTTTTTTTTAAATAACGGCCGTTAAATTAAAGAAATTTACTGTAAAATAACGGACATTCAATTACAGAAATTTCCTTAAATTAAAATTTCAGATAAATTTCTGTTATTTTACGGTAAATGTCTGTAATTTAACGGCCGTTATTTTACGTTTTTTTTCTGGCACCCCAGCTGCCGGGAATAAACCATAAAATTACGGATTTTTTTTACAGTGATGTTTAACATTTTTAAGTGTGAAAAAAGCTGGTCTGATCCTGGTTTGACTCAAATTAAGAGTTTAATTTCTGTTGTCTGTCAGATCACATCGGACGCCAGATCTTGTCTGAAAATGTCAGTTTTTTCTGGTATCTGGACAACAAGTCAGCAGTTTCCAATACCCAAACCCATTTACCAGTATTCAACTGAATTAACAGAGCCAAATCAATATAGGAGTTGACTGAGAAAACCAGAGATGATCAGAAGCAGGAGACCACGAATCAAATCAAATCACTTTTATTGTCACATCATCAGCAGCACGTGTGCTATGATGAGTGAAAAGCTTAAGTGCTGACTCCAGACAGCACAAAATACAAATAGTGCAAATACAACGACAGAGCAAAATACAGACAGTGCAAACTACAGAAAGTGCAAAATACAACGTCAATGTAAACAATGTAAGCAATAGCAATAGAAAGTTACTGCTTCACAACGTTGTCCAGAGACCATACAGATCTTGAAACGGAGACATTCTCTTATCTCGTTCTCATGAAAACAAGTGTCGCTTAAATCCACAGTCATAAGATCATAACAATATGGAAAAATGAACTAAAAATAAAGCAATAATTATAGGAAAATCATAGTAATAAAATTAAAAACATAAAAAATGAAAAATAATAATCTTGTATATAATAAACTAATGATCAATAAAATGATTAGTGTGCTTTACACACACACACACACACACACACACAAGGAACTGGTTTTGGTTACAGAAGCTTCGTGTACATAAAGTGACAAGTGACAACACAAAATAAATATGAAAAAAAAGATGATAAACATTAAACAGAGATGCAGCTAGTAAAAAATCTGGATGCTGAATTGTACTGTATGTACAGATTTGTTATAAATATACAGCTTATACGGTGCTGTGTACAAATGCGAATAGAGAAAGTATTGCATTGTGTATTGTTATAAGGTGCTGTGTACAAGTGCGTATGAGAAAGTATTGCATGTTTATTGCACAGTAGGGAAATATTTGACTGTTTATAAGGTAGATGGCCTGAGGAAAGAAACTTTTCCTGTGTCTGATATGATGATAATTATATAAATGACTAATGATCATATGATTAAATAAAATAACTAAATGAAGAATAAATGAATATAAACAAATGAAAAAAAAAAACACAAATGAATGGTTGCTTTCTTGAAACATCACACAAAGTTGCTACAAGGATTCTCAGGCCCTTAGTTAAATTCTTGCGTTTGAAAGTTTTATAAAGATTAAAAGTAGTATTCAGTCAAGCAATTAAATGATCTATTAAAGTTACTTTTCAGACAAAGTAATTAGAAAAGTAATTGAAATTAAATTTTAATGATGTAATTAGTAGTTAATTAGTCTTTTAAAGTAATTTATTCAACACTAATGGGTATAATAAGACACAAAGTGAGGTGGCAAAAAAAACAAACTCTGACTTTATTATATTTGGCTCTGTGTCCCGTTCTTAGAAAGGTCCTGGAATACAGTATATGAAAATAAATAGTTTGACTTTTCGGAGAATCTGAAATAGAATATGTGCATTTCACAAATAAACTGTCCTGCATCTCCTAATAGTTTTTCTCTCTCAGGACAGCCATGATGTCTCCTAAAAGAGCGCCGTCTGCTAGAGTGGGCCGAGATCGCTTCACAGCAGAGTCCTACACCGTCCTGGGTCAGTCGACACAAATGTATATAACAATCAAAACTATAAGTTTATTCAAAAAACGCCACAATTTGTCTGTCTGTGCAGGAGACACCATGATCGACGCGGGCCAGCATTATTGGGAGGTGCGCTTTGATAAGGAGAGCAAGGCGTTTGCAGCAGGAGTGGCCTTGAGGTCTCTGGGTCGTTTTGATCAGCTCGGGAAGAGCAACGCGTCCTGGTGCATCCATCTGAACAACTGGCTTCAGCAGAGCCTCACAGCCAAGCACAATAATAAAGCCAGAACACTGGACTGCTCCATTCCTGACCGCATCGGCATCTACTGCAACTATGAAGAGGGTCAGTTCAGCTGCTGCCTGTGTAACTAGATGTCTACTGTTTCAGAACTGGCTAGGTGATGGTGTCAGATAGTCTGAGGTTGACCAATATGTTGACTTTATTTGGATTAAAAAAATATATATCTGTATGTTGTAAGCAGGAGTTTATTCCGCTATGAAAATAAATCAATATAAAAATACTACTTATTTTACAGGACTAATTGTCAATAAATTCATTTCAAGTAATTTTTTATACATTAATTCATTTTAATTGATTTCTAATTTAGCACATAAACAGTTTGAGTGCAAAAATATTAACAATAGTTTAGATGCAAAGTGCCGTCTGAAACTTTCATCTGAAATGAGCAGTTTTCTCAGGTTGTTGTCATTTCAGAAATGTTACTATTTATGCAAATAATAGGTTATTTTCATTGCATTTAAAGTAAAATGACTGAACATAAACATGGAAGGTTGAGGAAAAACAGAAATCTTAGAAGAACATTTCTTAGAACTCTTCAAATATAGTTTAAAAACATTATTAACTGGAGCATGTGTAATAGGGTATATGCCGAGCTAGTGCTGTTCCCATGCTGATACACTTGCGGTGACCTGGTATTGTGAACTTTTTTCCATTTTATACGGTTCCCTATACAGCATCGATGTTGTAATGTCATTAAAATACATTCAGTTAAATAAACTTTAGCATTTATTTGGTTTCTCAAGCGTAAAACGAGACAAAAAGCTGTTTACTCGCACGCGCCCGTCAGAATCGGCAGGCTAACGCAGAAGCTCCATTGAATATACTGGGGTAAAATAAATGCTCATATTATAAAGATATGGCGGGGGAAATGTAATGTAACGCAGTGCTTCTTGTACAATCTGAGACCCACTTTAAATCGGATATCACTCAGCTAGTGGAGATCGCTGATTTTTAAAGAAAACAGACCTTAAACGCACCGGATTTTGCATTGGCATTCAATTCGCCGGAAGCGCTTAAACCAGGTTACTGGCAAATTAAAAGTCCTATTAGCATGCTTCGGCATATACCCCATTTACTGTCTTTAAACAGTATATGGACCGATAAAATTATCACCATCATTTTCACATATATTCATCATTTGTTTATATAGATTACAGATTGATTTATGCTCTTTAAAGTTGTTAAAAGATTTTTTTCCTTTTGATTCTTTTCAGGCACATTGTCTTTCTACAACTCCAGAAATAAAACTCTCCTTCATACCTTTAGAACCAAGTTCCAGCAGCCTGTTATACCAGCCTTTATGGTAAGATGTGATTCAGTCAATTTTGCACTTTATACCTAAAGCACACATGTGTGGAGTTTGCATGTTCTCCCCGTATTCGTGTGGGTTTCCTCCGGGTGCTCCGGTTTCCCCCACAATCCAAAGACATGCGGTACAGGTGAATTGGGTAAGCTAATTTGTCAGTGTATGTGTGTGAATGAATGTGTATTAATGTTTCCCAGTGATGTGTTGCAGCTAGAAGGGCATCCGCTGCGTAAAACATATGCTGGATAAGTTGGCGGTTTATTCTGCTGTGACAACCCTTGATTAATAAAGGGACTAAACCAAAAAAAAGATGAATGAATGAAGATAACTTAGCTTGTTGTGTATAATAAGAAGTGACTCAGAGAGTCTTTTACAGGTTTCATTCTTGCCTGCAAAACATCTAGATTGAGTGCAATAGACTGGAAAAGAATGCAGAAGTCTAAATATAACTTGACATACCATCATAAAGATGTCACAACATGTTTGACTGCATGTACAAGATGTAAGTGCAGTGCTCTCAACACAGTGATTTTGAAGATACAACTTCTCCCAGTCTGTAACGGTGCTGTATTGTAACATGTTTAAATGTAAACAGTATTAAACTAAAACACATTCATGAGTGAATGAGGGAAGTTACATTTTGTGATTTACTATCAAGAGATTTAGGTATAAGATAGAGGAGCACAGAATCTACCATGCTTGGCTAGTCGACCATCATGACTTGTTCCTATTGCATGTCCTGGAAATCTTTCTACAGAAACGTATGAAGGCTTTATTATACTAATGACAAAATTATTTTTATTTTACAAGCGGTAGTGAAATATGTTACAGCAAGTACTTTGAAACTTCCAAAAACAGCCCTGATTTCAGTAGAAACTGTCACACCAGTCCATTGTTTTTGTTGATTTAAAAAGGGTTAATTCACCCAAAAATGTAAATTCTGTTATATTTTGAAAAGAAATTCATAAACTTTCCTATCATGCTTAGAGAGCAATGGTCTTGTGATGTTCAAAGCCCAGAAACCAAAACATTGTCAAAACATTCCATGTGGTTTAAATATATTCATATGAAGCTCCAAGAACACTTTTGTGTGCCAAAAAAGGAAACAAACGGTAAGAACAGCATGTTTTAAATGTGTTCTCGTCAGTAACAGGTCATGATTGTCTGTTTACTAATAGCAGTATGATGTATTGCCATTATGCCTCTTTCACACCACATGAGCAAGAAAAATGTGTTAGCAGCGCATGTTTTTTTTTTTTCAGTGCAAATGTTAACAGATTACTGCTTTCATATCGCACGCCCAAGCTGCGCCTCAGTGAGTAGCGTTAAAGCGTCAGCAGGGTTCAACGCTAAGGATTTTTTTTTACTGGCCTGATTAGGCATGGGCTGGTAAAAGTTTCTGACGGTATGATAACCTTGAATAAAAATGTCACTGTTTCATGGTATTGTGGTAACTGCTCTAAAAATGATCTTTTTAAATGTCTGGGTAGAAAACAACTACTTTTTTCACTTTTGAGCACAAAATATTTTATTTTGAAAAATATTTAGAATATTTGGGAATGATAACTTGTCAGGCTAAATATTTGCTTCAAAAACACAGATTTTTTTGAATGAAATAGCATCTTTGGATATCTTTTGTACTGGAGATACTGTTGTCCTAAAAAACAAAAACAAAGAAAAAACATAAATTAAAAATTGTTACTCATCCTGTACCTTAGAAACGGTACACTCTCAGATAAAGTAGTATAATGTTGTGCCAAAGAAGGTACAAACACTTGAGACTGGGGCAGCACCTTTTTATGGAACAGAATTGTACTTTAAGACAGAAACAAATTTGTACCATAGCAGTTTGTACCTTTAAGGTCATGATTTGTAACATGGGAAACTAAATGTACCTTTGGTTTTTAAAACCTGCAGATACAATATTGTACCTTCATCAAAGGTACAAATCTGATCCATGAAGGTACCACTATACAGCGAAGGACACTTTGTACATTAGGAGTACAAATGTGTTCCTTCAAGAACTATTTAAAGGAATTTTGCTTTATCCAAAATACGTCAATTTATTTTCATTAAATATAAAACATCAAATACATTTATAAATAGTGTTTTTTTTATTTTGTTTTTGTGTAAATGCAGCTTTTCCATTCACAATAAAGAATGAAAACAACTTCAACATGAATCAAAAGTTATATTTATTTTTATAGATATTGTAATGAAGAAGTTGTCGCTAAGTTGAAACTTTTGTACCTTTTTTATGAGAACAATTGTGTACCTTCAATTGTACCATAAAAGGTACAGAACAGTATCATAAGAGGTCTTTTCTGTACCATATAAGGTACAACTTTTATAAAGGTACAAAACTCCTCCTTAGGGACCTTACTTGTACCACCATCTACCTTTTTTTCTGAGAGTGCAGAACATTTTTGCGGTTTTAAAACATAGACTTTTCCAAACTGTGGAATATCTTAAAAACAGTTATCGTCCCATGCCTGGGCCTGATTGGATCAGTTGTTCAGATTTTTACTTGCCCTACCAAAATTTTCACTGACCTCAGCAAAAAAAATAAAAAAAATAAAAAATAAAAAAGTTAATAGCTATTTCTTTGCCACATATTTTAAATCATGTGTCAAAAATAATGTCTGTGAATCTAGAATTTAAATATATATATATATATATATATATATATATATATATATATATATATATATATATATATATATATATATATATATATATTTCAAAATAATTAGCAGTAAAATATTGTAATATGGAAAATGAATGCAAACTATGCAAAACATCACTTCATTTTACTTCATGTTGTACCCATCTAATTGTCATTTCCAAGACGTTAGAAACAGATGTTTTCTTTTAGCCTCATAATTTGATGTTGCCGCCTCTTCGCTGTACTGGATTTTACCAGGTTACAAAAAAAAAATAACATGCTCACAACATCCAATCAGATAAGAGGAACCGAAAAGAAATATGTTATTTACGACTTCACTGAGAAGGTAGCGCTCAAAGACTTAAAAACAAACTGTTTCTCAATTCTAAGACTACTTTCATGCAATTGACAAATAGTCGCTGGCAAATAAAAATTTAGTGACAAGGCAGCACTGGCCTGATCGGACCAATAATGATTCTGCCCTGAGCACCCGGCCCATCGGGCTGTCCTTATTGTTAAGCCCTGATCAGTGCCACCATCAGGTCTATTTTTGCAGTGCTGCTTACGCTCAATTAAAGAGACAATGCATTGATCATGACCAAAAACACATTGAATGACAGTAAAAGGTTGAAATTATACCCAATAAATGCATTGATAATATCCACTGATTTTTAAGATTACGATAAAAAATGACAATGTAGTACAAATACAGTATACTCAATAAATACTACGAAAACTAAATTTAAAACAGTTTATTTTGTCGGTTTTGCTTAAGTTGCACACTAATTTGATTATGTATAAATACATAATTGATTATAGATACAATATCATTACATCTATATTTGTTTAAATATTATTGTTACTATATATATCGTGCTGACAATCAAAAAAATAAAATAAAAATCACATGGTATTAAAGGTGATTGTCTTCCGAGTGCCCCTAAAAAGACAATAATGAATGACTCTTCTCATGAGCTTGAGAAGCATACAGCATACAGTATGATCTACATGATATAAAAATTTGTAGGTTAAGGAAACCGCTTAGGAGGAAGTTGCTCTGGCTCTTGGTGCAGATGAAAAGTAAAAAGTCTCTATATATAGGCTCAATTCAATTCAGTTCATCTTTATTTGTAGAGCGCTTTTACATTGTAGATTGTGTCAAAGCAGCTTAGCATAGAAGTTCTAGTAAATATATATATATATATATATATATATATATATATATATATATATATATATATATATATATATAGATAGATAGATAGATAGATAGATAGATAGATAGATAGATAGATAGATAGATAGATAGATAGATAGATAGATAGATAGATAGATAGATAGATAGATAGAATAGACAGAGATAGATTCATCTGTGTAATAGCTGCAGAACACACAAGTATTACCCCTAGTAAATGCGCACCCAAATCCAAATTTACCCAAATTGGCAGACATTGTCATTTTTACAGGATTTTTGGCACACAGAAGTGTTCTTGGAGCTTCGTATGATTACAGTTGAATCACTGATGTCACATTGAATGTTGAACGTCTTGTGATCGTTGCGATTTAAAGTACAAGACTGGTTGAAGATAAAAAATGTGGATGCTGAAGGTTGACTTTTACATTACAAGATGTGCTATATGGAATTACTAAAGATTGCTCTGCTTTGCACGATTTGATAAATATGATAATTGTGTTAGCCAAATATTTTATTCATAAATGTAGATAATTCAAAACACCTCCATTACTCATTGTATTTATAAAAGAATTTAAAATATTTTCAGATGCCCTGGCTAAAATGAAAACAAAAATTGCCTTAAAAAGGTTCAATTTATTTGCAGTATATAACTTGCCATAGATGATATCTATTTTGTACTTATTTTTTATTTATTTATTTTTTTTGTGTGTTTTCCTTTCACTCTTGGATTTATTTTAGCTTGAATGTTTTTTGTATATTACATTTGTATCTTTGTATATTATTGTGTTGAGCACACAAGTGTGACATACAAGTTGTAAAGTTGAATCCCATTTTGTTGTATTTGAATTTTGTATTTTCAATTAAAAAAAAAAAAAAAAAAAAGATTGTTGCGATATATAGAGGGTGAGAGCACTCTTGGATTTCATCTAAAATGTCTTCAGTTATGTTCTGAAGATGAACAAATGTATCAGGGGATTGGAAGGTCATGAGGGTTAATAATTAATAACAGAATGTTCATTTTTATTGGTGAACTAACTCACAGGCTCTCTTTCGCCCCCTGTAGGTGTGGAATGGGAGTTTCTCGGTGCAGACGGGCCTTCAGGTGCCCAGTATCGTGTTGAGCGGCCAGAAAAGAAACAGTAACACAAGCAGTTCTAATGCCAGCCTTACCTAACTCACATTCTCCAGAACTGCTGCACATGTGTGGAGAACACCTGGCTAACTTGGACACAACAAGCCTGGAGGCTCATCATTCATCAGTATAAGGGAGAAGCTGCCTCGCTATAGCCTTCCTCATTCCTTTTAGCTCACTGATCTGGATCCTGTGCCTTTCAGTGTCCTGAATGAAGACGTGACACGGGGTTTACTCCATTTCAACATGCAACCAGCTTAAATAGCCTGAGGGCCAAAAGTATTGTACACGTTTTAGCATTTGTTCATTCACGAGCCACATTTTCAACACTTATTTTAACGCAACAGCAGCAGCATGTTGGGGTTTTAAATCTCCAATGAAAGCGTATTATATTTACACACTGAATGTCTTTAATGATATGCCTCCAGTATCTGCGACGTTTTTAAACTAGTATCAAGGTAGCACAATTATTCGCAAGCTAAATCATAGAGATCAAATGCCTTTTATAGAATGTATTCATTCAGCAGTTCCAGCATCTGAGGAGGAAGGCGGTGTAACTAATCATTTGGTCAAGCACGGTCAATGATGTGTGTGTGTGTGTTTTTGTGCGGGTGTGTTCATTCAGAAAAGTACATTTTCAGTGTTCTTTATGCAAATATTTACCACAGCTGACTTTTTGTACGCCTGCTGCAATGATGTATTACATACGCAACCCTGGACCACAAAACCAGACTTGTGTTGGAAATAGCCAAATATACAATGCGTCAACGTTTTCCTTTGATGCCCAAAAAGATTGGAGTATTAAGTAATGGACTTGTTTTCCATGAAGAGATTTTGTCTATTTCCTACTGTAAGTATATCAAAACAGTTTTTTATTAATCTGGATTTCTAAGTGCTTCATTTAGACCAGAGATCCTCAAAGTGAGGCCTGCAGGCCAAAGTTGGCCCTTTGTAACCTTTGATTTGGCCCACTATCCATCTGAGAAGAGCGAGAATGACTTTAACAGAGATTGTCATTTCTATTTTGACATAGCCAAATTTTTTATTTGTTTATTTCTGGGCTACTAAAAAGCAAACTGAAATGAAATGTTGTAAATGAATCTGGGTTTTTAAAATGTAAATACTGTCACTCGATGGATAGAGGACTATGAAGACATCAGCGAGCAAATCAAGGCAAAAACTACTGTAACTCCATTCTGTTACAGATGAGTTATAATGTTCATTACAAAATGTAATATAAAATATCCTCTATTAGTTAATATAAAGATATTTTAAAATATTATCATTAAATAGTAAATTAGGAAATTACCAATGGCAACTATATTTACCCTCGGCCCACTAGCCTCAATCAAGCTTGGATTTTAGCCCTTCACAGAGCATCTCTCAGATTCCAGATCATCTAATATTGTGCTATCCTAACAAATCCCACATCAATGGAAAGCTGATTTGAGATGATGTACAAACCTTATTTCATACAAATTAATCATTACACGTATGACTGGTTTTGTGGTCCAGAGTCACCTATAACAGATGACATTTACAGTATTTTTTTGCCAGATTGCTGTCCTCTAAAAGGGAAAATTTGACCAAAAAGTAAAATTGTGTAATCATTTACTCATTCTTACCTTGTTCCAAACCTCTGTGACCTCCTTTTTTCTCTCTTTAGAATGCAGATGTTTTAATAACGTACCTGTTACTGGAGCCAAGATTAATTATTTTTAAAAATCCAAAAACTAAAACGTGCAGCAATCGCTAAAGAACCAACTGAAAATATAATTTGCAAAAATATTAATCATTTTCAGTATTAATAACACATTCTGTGTTGAAAAAATGTTTTCAAGAAGCACCCAAGGACGCACTTTTATAGCCAAATGTAACCCCAACGGTCCTACACTAGCCAACCCGCTCTAAGTTGATCGAACCGGCAGCTCTTTGCATGGGAGTCGGTTGCTCCAACAAGGACCTCTAGTGTCTGCAGCTACAGCACCGTTAGAGGTCAGGAGTGAGGTTTACCTGCACAGCACTTCACTGGCTGGCCTCTGCTACACAAACACATCAGTGAAGTGCAAGATTAGACATCTTTTCAATTAGGGCTATATTGGATATTGGAGAAACAACATTGCAATTAATTAGTTTTTATGCAATTTATATTGAGATATGAATACAATTTTACAAGATGACTCCGTTTGGAAAGAATTCATAATTTTAGGACTATAAGGACAATCGTTTACTGGGGTGCATCAGCATAAAATGTACAAAATTATACAAATATATATATAAAACTAAAGCAAAAGATGAACACAATAGAAAATAGAACAAAGATAGAAATGAAATGAAGCGCTTTGGTTTATCGGTGGAGTCTAATAGTATTGAGGTACATAAATTCAATAATCAATGTAAAATAATGTTCTATAGTCTTCATTGTATAAATCAATGCATTTAGCAGACGCTTTTGTCCAAAGCAAATTACAATTGAGGAGTCATTCAGCAATTCCACAAGAAGAGTCAGTACATGTAGGTAGAGCTAATTAATAATTAAACACAATTAATCTTTGTTAAAGTGGAAAACTTTATCATTTCTGGTGCCCAAATGGTTTAAAGTCACCTAAAATTGCTTGTCATCCTGTGATGTGACTACTGCGGATTCACACATTGTAATATCGAGGCTGAAACGTTATATTGTGCAGCCTTAATCTCAATATAAACAGAACACGCTCTAACCTTTCTTCATTTGCCAAACAAAAATAAACTAGTCAATAAGTACATGCAGGATCTTTGAGATTAAGTTTGTCTTGTCTTAAGTTGCATTTGTGTGGGTTGAGTGTCTGTTCAGATATTATTCAATTATTAATATTAAGAGGCTCGCACAAGTGTTCATTTAAGCCGTTTAAAGATTAAACTTTGCTCCGGTCAACAATGGATGTGTTCTGTTAACTAATAAAAAGGAAACAAAATCTAGATTAAATTAAAAAAAAATAGTGTTCCCAAAATAAAACCTAAACTAAAATCTAACAAACACCATTAATCTTTTCCATATTATTGAACAATAACAATATATACTTTTCGATACAAGTTTTTAATGTTTCCAGAGTTTTAAGAGAACCCCAACAATAACTGAAGCCACAAAAATTAAAGGGTTCATAAAATGCCATAACATATTTTCGGCCGATGAATTTTCAGTGGCCAAAAGTTCGGTACATCTCTAATATCAACACACCTTCAGATTCCCATTGTCGCACATTTCTGCTGTGTGATTTGCTCTTAGATCAATAAAAGTCCAGAGCTTATCACTGTTACTGACATTCATTTAATCGCGATTCGATATAATATCGTTTATGGACCCAGCCCTCTCTGAATTTTGGTGAATACAGTTTATGAAATATTTATGCTGCTCCACATTCAAATACAGTGAAAAGGCAATCTCAGAACAGAGAAAAGGTTGGTCATACCGTGTTTTGGAACAACATAATTCTTATTAATTTTGCTATTATGAGTAAACAAGGACATCTTTTTTTGTTTTGGAAAATCTAATACAGCCCGCAGTGCTTCTAGTCAAACACCAAAACTGTTACACTTCCTGTTACGTCAATAAAACAAATGCCAAACATACTTATTGTCTTGCACATCTATAAAAGGAAGAAAATATGACTCAGATTAAAATGTTTTTCCATGATGATTGTATTGTTCTCAAACTAAACAATATAAAAAACAAATAACATACAAAGTTGAACAGGAACAGACAAAACAATATTCATTTGATCAGATCTGGAGAAAGAAGACCTGCAACTTCCCCACAAACTTGAGTCACAATCATTCAGAGTCATCGCATCAAGCCTGAAAACAGGAGACGTAGACCAGCTATCTGACACGGGAAAATATTTACATCTGACTAACCTCTGAAATGGCCATAAATCAATAATATGTCAATGAGATAAACTACACAAACAGCAGAAGTGATTTACAGACACACACACACACACACACACTGATCTATTGCTACAAGGATCGATAAAGAAGACTTGATTCGAGGGCTCGTTTCTCAGCAATAAAAGCCTTATAAATGTGTCGTAGATTTAAGACTTAGCTTAATACTTAATAGGAATTACTCCTCGTTCCACAGTGAAACCATCATTATCGTCATCACATAATCACTCCTGGATGGGTCGTCTGCTATTAATAACCTTGGCCAGCTCATCTGTCAAGAATGAAACCACAGCGGGTTACGGATGTGTCAGAAGCAGAAAATATTGTGGAATAGAAGCATGAACGTGCTCTTACCCATGACGATTTGCTGCTTGGGAGCATTTTTAGGCATGTCTGATAGACTGTTGCTTCTGAGGGGTTTTTTACCATAGCCAGGAGGAACCAGAGCTTTTCGTTCACAGTCTATACGTCAAAGGAGAAAACATTATGATTATTTAGCAATCCAGCAATCTGTCTAGTGTAACATTGGAGAAGGGTTTGAGATTTTGCAACTAACTGTGAAGCCTGTTCCACAAAAGAGTTGAGGGTTGCAGAGTAAGTTTTGGGTTTATAAAAGCAGCCCGGTTAAGATCAGGTTAAGTAGTTTTACAATACTTGATATAAACGTGCTCTGTTAACATGGGGTTTCCTCCAGAGTTTGTGATGTACGCCATACAGCTGAAAGTTTGACTAACAGCCAATTAAAAACCCAGCCGAGGCTTGAACCAGCAACCTTCTTGCTAGCCAATCGTGCTACCCACTGCACCACCGCATTGCTGAAAACATTACGTTTATATTTATATTATTATGTTTAATATAACATTTCCAAAAGAAAATGCTTTATTAATGTTGATTCGCAGGCAGCTCAAAAGCTTTATAGATTAAAAGCTAATTTATATGTACATATTTAAATGTTAATTGAACATTTGACACTAATTAATATTCACTGACAATTCAAAACTATTTAAATGTATAAAATAAAGTATAAATAATTCATGTATTTTAAATCAATTATTAGCAACAAAAGATCAATTTGACTAAACAATGCTTTTAGTGTGAAAGTCTTTCATTAATTACATCAGATATGTGTATCACTTGATTCATAGCTGAGTTTGGGTTTGCCATCTTTAACAAAAAATAAAACCTGTTCTAGAGCAGGGTAGCTGTGAAGCCTACTGTATATTAGCCTAGATCACAAACCTGTTTTGTGCAACAGACCTCAGATGTAGACCTGCTCTTACAAAAACTATGCAGCAGATGTTCACTGAAACCCCCCCCCCCCCCCCCCCCCCACACACACATAATCTCAGATGGTAATATATGGCTATTTTAGACAAAATACTCAACTGTTCAGTATGTTCAGAAAAGTTGAACTCACCTGAACTGGTGTTTGTTTCTTGAGGCATTGAATACTGGTACGGCAAATGCCGTGCTATTAAAACAACAACAACAACAAACAATAATTAGAATAATCCAGTACTTTAATGGATAGTTCAGCCAAAAATGAAATGTCCTCACTTTTTCCTCACCCTCAAGTGGTTATAAAACTTTATGAGTTTCCTTTTTCTGTTGAACACAAAAGAAGATATTTTGAAGAATGTTGGAACCTGTAACCACTGACTTCTATGGCATGAAAAACAAATACTACAGAAGTCAATGGTTACAGGTTTAAAAAAAGATATTTGAAAACATTTTCTTTTGTGTTTAACAGGGGAAAGTCAAACAGGCTTTTAGAATGTGCAGTGTGAGTAAATAGACATTTCATATTTTATTATTACTAGTAAACAAGAAGTAACAATGAAAAGAGGAATAATTAAATGAACTGAATCTAAATACAAGGTGTTCAAAAATGTTAGAAATGAACTATACCAGCAGGAGAAAAGGTAAACATTTGCATTTACTACTATTTGAACAATATGTTGGAAGCTTGTAGCTAGGCCCGTCCCAAAAGCAATTTTTGTTGTGCGATATATTTAGTCAGAAAAATTGTTGCGATAAGTGATATTGTTGTCATTTTTGAGACCATCCTATGCCACAGATTATATAAAAGCATAATAATTCAAATAGCCGAACACTTTAAAAAATACTTATCATTCTTAAGCTTATTTAGATTCTATAATTCGACATTAAAAAGGTAAATGCCCAATTTTATTCACTATTAGATGTCCTATTAGATAAATGTCCAATTATATGGTTTACAAATTTTATTCTTTCTTTTTTATTCTTTAGAATACATTTTATGAATATATTTAGATAAAACTTTATGTATAATTGTATTTATTGTAAATTGTTTCTTAAAACTCTACTTTTTGTATTAACATTATTTGTTAGGCACCTAGGGTCTGAGAGTAACGTAATTCCGATTCTCTATATGTCCTGTACATGTGGTTGAATTGACAATAAAGCTGACTTTGACATTATTAACCTTTGACACCAGTGAGGTAGAATGTAAATGTCATTATAAAATGGCTTTAAGGCTATTTGTGAATCTGTAAATATATATTGCAACATCAAAAATGATTGAGGCCATCTCCAAGTATTGCACGATTACTCAATATATTGATTGTGACAGGCCTACCCATAGCTAGGCCCATACTGAATCTGCGCGCGCAGAAATCCGTAGATTTCCACAGATTTTTAGCCCATCATTGAGTCTATGTATTTACTTGTGTAAAAGTGTGTAAATTTATATTGATTCAGTTTTTTAATTAATTTCACTTATATTATTGTGATACAAATAATAGTACTATTAATGTATTTGTATTATTTATTTACAATACAGTTTGTACAGTAATCTTTTCTGTCTTTTAGTAGAGATATTATATGATAAACTTGCTTTGTTTAGCAAACACTGGATCTGATTGGATTTGCATTGCAAACATTAAACAAACGTTGAAAGGTAATATTTTTTATTTCATGTATTAAGGTTTTAGGTATGATCCTCCTAAAATAATTCTGCATAAATCCACCGATTTTTTACAAAATTTTCAGCAGAAATAGCAAAAAAATGTCTGCAGATTCTGCGTGGCCCTACCCATAGCCATTGGTTTGCATAGTATCTTTTTTTCTATACTATTTAGATCAATAGTTGAGACCCAGCATTCTTCAAAATATCTTCTTTTGTGTTTACCAGAATAAAATAGACACAAATGTTTGAAACAGCCAGAGAATGAGTAAATAATGAGAACATATTCATTTTTGGGTGAACTTTCACTTTAGGGGAAAATCATGCGAGAACATATAGGGCATTATTGATCTACTTTTTGTGTCACCTGGAACACGTGGTTGAACTGGAGGTGCAGGAGATGCAGCTTCATCCTGCTCATAGTCTCCTCCACCTGCAAATCAAATAACACACAACAAAACAGCAACATTAAATACAAGTCCTCAAAGTGAAGCAGTTGCAGCGCTAAAAGAAGCTGAAGACAGAGAGTTGCCGGATGATGACTTACGTGGGATATTGCGGTATTCATTTTCTGAACTGGACCTTTGAGCCTTTGTGACTAAACATGCAAATGAAAAAAAAAAAAGAGTTATTCATACTAACTTTTATAGGTCGAGCTGTCAGTTTAAGTTAGACACTTATTAAAGCTAATCCACTGTTTGAAACGGTAGATACGTTGATTAACAGTGTGTGTGCCTATGAGGATGATGTGTTACCAGGTTTGGGTGGGGGCACTGGAGGTGTAGATGAAGCGTCTGGTTTGGCACAGTGTGTGCTCAGCTCACCGTTTTCTTCATTTTTCTCAACATATACTGAGAGAGAAGACAATAACAATCAGGTTTACTGCTGTTAAAAGATTTAGAATTAAATACAAAATTAAAAAGTCTCCCGTTTATTCTTTTTCTGACCAGAAATACTGACTACATTTTTATAACGATTAACAGAAGACAAGCACAAATGTCTGTCAGTGTAGCATTAGCAAACATACTGTACTAATAAAGAGTCTGTTTAGAACGAGGATTATTTGGATCACATTTCAGTTTGCAAATATTAATTAAACGTCATTTTAAATCTTTAGAGTTTGCCACAATTCTTTAAACGACTACACTGTAAAAAATATTTGCTATTTGAGAGTTTACAAGTGTTTTCTGTTTATTTACAGTTGTGAATTGCATTATGGCATGTTAATCTCTGCTCTGTTGAATTTTGAAGTTGAAAACTCAAATCTACAGTTTAACAAAGTGGCTTTTATTGACATTTCATTCATTTTCTTTTTGGCTTAGTCCCTTTATTAATCTGGAACCACCACAGCGGAATTAACCACCAAACTATCCAGCATGTTTTAAGCAGCGGATGCCCTTCCAGTTGCAACCCATCACAGAGAAACATCCATACACTCACTCCCTCACTCACGCACACACACACACAATTTAGCTACATTACATCAACACAGGGAGTCATTGACATTTTAGTAGTTTAAGAATTATGTCATGTAGGAGAAATAATATATTAAGAAATATTTCCCAGTACTGGGTTGCAGCTGGGCATCCGCTGTGTAAAACATTTGCTGGATAAGTTGGCAGCTCATTCCGCTGTGGCGACCCCTGATGAATAAAGGGACTAAGTTGAAGGAAAATAAATGAATGAATGAATATTGAGAAATGAGTCTGTTACATTACAGCAAATGTGCTGGCAGTTTATTACAAGGTTTTAATATAGGACAGGTAATAAAATATATAAGGTAATATAGAACAGCAACCCAGACAATATTTATTTTACACTATTAAAAATGTTAATAAGTCACTGTTTTTTTACTTTTCAAGGTTAAAATTTTATGTAAGAAAGATCAAGGTCTCATAATGCAATTCAAAAGCATAAATAAACTGGGGAAAATAAAAACATGAATCACAACATATGGAAAACTGCTAATTTATGAATATCTTTTTACAGAGTAGGTTTTACCAATTTGTCATGATAAATAAAATACTTAGGGGAACACTTTAAGTCTCTGTTTCCACATGTTCCATGTACTCACTATAGTAATAACAAATTATCCATAATTACATGCAACTAACCCTACCCATACAGTAAATACACAAGTTAATAAATAATACTTAAATGTATAGTTAGACTCTAACAAGGAAACCATAAAAAAAATTATCCAGTTTTTTTAATAAGCAAGTCAAAATAGGTTAGCTGTTTTATTTTTAGATGAGTATCCTATGCCTATTAAAACACTACCAGTCAAAAGTTTGGCATCAGTTTTTTTTCAATTTATTTTTATAGAAAATGATTCTGTTTATCAATGTTGTTCTGTTTATAAAATTGTTCAATTGTAAATATTTATTACAATTTTAAACAACTGCTTTCTTGTTGTATGTGGTTTAAAATGAAATTATTAATCCAGTCATTTTTGCTTTTATTATTTGTACCAATAATAATAATAATAATTAATATTAGAGTGATTTCTGAAAGATCAGGTGACTCTAAAGACTGGAGTAATGAAGCTGAAAATTCATCATTAAAATCACTGGAATAAATGATTCAATAAAATGATAAACTAATTTTTAAAAGTTGTTTTATAGTGCAATACCATTTCACCGTTTTACTATTCGTAATGGATTTTGATTGAATAAATGCAGTCTTGATGAGGAGGAGAAGCTTATTTTAAAACATCTGAAAGTTCTACTTTCCCCAAACTTTTGACCAGCAATGTATGTTCATTAATTCATTCATTTTCTTTTCAGCTCAGTCCCTTTATTAATCCAGGGTCGCCACAGCAGAATGAACCGCCAACTTATCCAGCATGTTTTTTATGCAGAAGATGCCCTTCCAGCTCCAACCCATCACTGGCAAACATCTATACATCTCATGCATACACATACGCTATGGACAATTTAGCTTACCCAATTCTAGTGTGTTAACATTTTCATTTGAAGCATTAAAGTAGAAACTTCACTTGAATTTAAAAAGCTTTGTATGCAAATACAATCTCTTTTGCAAGTGTACTGCAGAACCAAACCTATGTGTGTGTTTAAATTGTAAATCATTTGACTTTAAAACCAATTCCTAAAAAGCAGGTATTCATTAAGTCTTAAAAACTGAGAACTAAAACTACCAGCTTCGACCAGAATGGAATGACAAGTATTAGTTCACGCAACCAAACAAACTACTTTTCAGTTTTGTTATGTTAAGAAACTGTGTTCACAGTGAAATAGCTGCTTCAGCTATCAAACAAGTTTCTGCTTGCCATTTCAGCTTAAATGTCAGTCAAAAAAAACAAAACAGTCAAGCTTTTTTATTCCGTCAGCCAGATGGAATGTCTAAGGAGTGATTTACTGTATGAAGGTTTGTTTCATAACTTTCATGTCATTAGGTCATTCATTATAGTAAACATTTTCCAGATGATTAATTCATACCAACAAGTATGCCAGTGTGGCTGACAAACAGGATTTTCCTTATTTGCTTTACAGTAAATACAAAACAGTCGTACCTAGAACTTGATCATAGTGTTTCTCCATATGGAAAGGCACCAAAACCCCACCGGTCTTCTCCACCATACTGTTAACCACATCGTGCAGGGTGGCACAGTTGATCTGTGTGTTTGAGAACAGTGTGTGATCAGTACACAATGCCATAGTAAAGGAATCAATGGCTGGGATCAGCTAGCAGTGGTATATGTTTCATCAGTGGTGAAGACTGCACAATAAATACACACCAAGGCAAAGCATGGAGTACAGTTAAAGGCAATATTATAAGCCCTTAGGTGAAATTGTAAGTGAACGTGATTTTTAATACAGCAAAGACATGTTTCACAGCATTTCCTAACATTTTTTTCTAAAAGTCTTATTTCTTCTAGTTAAGCTGCAGTAAATGCAGTTTTATTTTTCAGTTTTAACACTTATTTTAAGGGTTCAATATTATTGCCCCCCTTAAGACGTTTTTAAATTAGCTGCAGAACAAACACTTTTCTCCAATGATTAACCTAGTTAAGCTTTTAAAGCACTTTAAAGGGAAACTATTTGACCAATTTTTTAACATTTAAGATGAGCTCAAAAAACCCATCAGTTTATTTATTATACCTTTCAGAACATTAGAATTTTCTGCTTTGAACTAGAGATCTGCGCGGGACTAAATTTTGAATCCCGCTCCCGCCCGCACACGCCAGGTTTTAGCCCGAACCTGACCGCTCCCGCTTATATTAAGAATTTATTGTCCTGCTGCCCGACCCGCCCCGTTTTCTGCCCGCCGTGCCCGATCCCGCAGAACAAAACCGAAAATCCCCCAGCTATACAGTCCAGACAGCCAAGCTGTCTGTATAAACACACACACACACACACACACACACAGCACCCAAGCACACACACACAGACAAATCTCTCTCTCTCTCATACGCGCGCGTGCGCACGCGCACTAACACACACACAAGCACCAAGCAGACACACAGGCGTTTGCTGTTATATCAACTCAAAGGCTTGTAATACCATGTATCAAGTACCAATGTAATACCAAAAGGTTTTATATAAAGGTGTATAAATACTGAGTCGCGCCAGCTCTGGGCCGCAGCGCACATTACTCTCGGGCCGATTCCGGCAGGGATGCGGCAGCGTCGGCTCGCTTACGGACGCCGCATCTGGCCCAATTGATTCGGGCCGGAATCGGGCAGTGAGTCCACAAGCATCCAGAGTCCGGCAGCCGGAGCCAGAGTGGTAAGTCTCTGGCAGGCGAGAATCTAGCCGGAACTGGCCCGAGTGTATTTTGCTATCTGGGAAAGCTCTCTCTCTCTCATTCGTGCGCGCGCGCGCACACTAACATACACACACACACATGCACCAAGCACACACACAGGCAAAGCTTACTCTCTCTCTCTCTCTCTCTCTCTCTCTCATTCGCATAGCAATATCCGCGATATTGCTAGACAGCCCGCTCCCGTCCCAAATTAAACCCGTTACCGACCGCTCCCGCGATTTATTCGGAAATTTATTCCCGCGCCGCAAAAATCTGGTCAAGTCCTGCGGCGCCCGCGGGACAGCTGCGGGAATGAAGACCTCTACTTTGAACAATATGTAGCTGTTTTAGTGGCCTGTGCCTTTAATGCTAGTTCTCCCTGCCGATTGTTCCCTTGTGCCTGTCAGAGTGTGCCTCATCCTCCGCCTCAACTGTGTCCAGTAAACAGCACAGTGACAGACATGAAAGAAATAGATCTCAAGTAACGTTTGTAAGAAACACTACAGTAAGAAGTTTCCCAATGATTATTTGATGTATTTGGTGTGGAGTCTTTCTGCAATGAGTCACACACAATGTCGATACAAAGTTCATGCACGCACGTGCGCACACAAACACACACGCACGCACACTCTTGCACTGTTTTTGCATGCAAATGTGACAGGATACACGTTCATATCCACTGCTGTATGGATATCCGTTATGTTAATGTACAAAATAACAAGATTTAACATCCACAAACAGTGATTAAAGTGCCTTCTTTTATATTTGTACTAGCATGCGGCTGTGGAGATGTGGTGAAAGACGGTAAAATGGCTGTAATTCATTACAAGCATGCACTGTTTTATTAACATTTTAAATTCATTCTTGATTACATTTAATGATAATTGATGATCACAAAGAGCTGAACAGATCTTTTAAACCTGGTTGCTTTGCACACGTCCTATGTTGTTGATATGATTATAGGCGTTACTATGGATACATGTTAATACATGGCTGTCAATCAAATAAGTGGGCGAGGAAACCATAGTCCTACAACACGTTGAGGCGGGCCTCAAAATGGGAGGAATTTGGATCCTATTTTATGTCAGGAGATTAAAAAAAAAGACTTATTGTGTTTATATCACTGAATTATGACTGTAGACACACTATACCTAGACACAGTTCTGTCCAAACAGCTTACAAAAGATGATTTTCATCATAGGTGCCCTTTAAAGCTGAATACTAGTATGTGAACCACTTAAATATTATGTATATTCTGCCTGTCATCATGGCAAAGAAAAAAATAGTTATTAAGTCAAATGGCACTTGGGAAATATTAGAAATATAAATGACAATTTCACAAGAGGGCTAATACTTTTGCCTTCAACTGGTGTATGCACAAATAAAAGTCATATGACATTACATGCACTTTTTCCACCCCTAAAAATCTTAAACTGAAAACCAGGAATACTTCTGGGATGTGGTTTAAGATAAATGTGGAGATAGGGCTCTCAAAACATCTTACTCACCTACAATAAAACTGTGGAGTCTCTTTCAAGAAATGTTTAATGTATAACGCATGAGCTGTACAGAGCCACTGCGTCGGATTCCCAACACTCAGCCATAAAACTCATTTCTTATCAGAACTTCCTCTTTGCTTTCAGAGCAATCACATGTGTACAAAGTGCTTTCGAAAGAGCTTTGTGCTCACACTAAAACTACAAGCCTAAAATTAACTGAATCTTTAGAAGTTCAGAGTGTCACTTTACTGGGGATATTGTTTAAAAAAATCTATTATTTATCTGCGGTTTTGATTTTAAAGCGTTCAGAAAATGACGAAAGAATGCATTACTCACAGGTGAGTCGAGATTGATGACGAATCCTCCTTCAGGCCTCCGAAAAACTCGATAATGCTTAAATATTGATTTGCTGAAAGCAACAAAAAGATTCTTCAGGATATATACGTTCTTAACCAGCACAACTATATTAAGCAGAAATTCCCAGAAGATGTGATTGTGTAACATGTCATATTGTGCAGATCAAGGTCTAAGGTTCAAAACTATTGAATTACAGGGAGCAATTCAGAAGATAAATAGCAATAAATTAAGTTCTTCAGTGCATCAGATAATGCATTTGGAAGCTGGCTGTCCAGCGTATGTATTCAACATGATTCTGTATTGAGTAGAGATGAAAGAGTGTGTTTTACCCATTAACTTCTTGCCGAGTGGTGAGAGAGAACGACGAAAGAGAAAGATCTTGAGCCGGCCGCAGCAGAAGGTTTCCATCATTAGGATTCCTTTCCAACAAAATTTCAGCTTCCACACGAGACACTTTATGAAAACACCTGTTAAATATGCATCATTATTATTGTATTATTACATAACAGGCATGGCTTATTTAGATGTACATGAAAAACAAAAAAACAAAAGTGGTGTTTGGATTTACATGAAATGTATTAAACCATTTTAATCTCATTTACATTGTTTTTTTAAATCTGATCATGAGAGTAAATGCAGGTGTAAACAGGGTCTGAAATGAGTTCATATTGAAAATGTCTTTTTTGGATTGCTTGTGTAGTGTAAACACTCTCAAATGCACTCTCAGTCTATTGATCTGACCTTTATGTTGTATGTTGTTAGAAACACCAAAATAAGGGTTTGTACTTTGGTGCATTTTACAAAAAAAAAAAAAAATGCAGACTGCAATCAAAATCATAGTTGCTATTCACATCCCTTTCATTCACATGCTTTACCACTCACAAAACATGCAACATGGGATTGTTCATTCAGTGGATGGTCACGCTAAACAAAAGCAATGTAAACTCTCAGCTGACCACTTGTGATCAGGCCACTAAAAACTCACGTTAAAGAGATAGAAATTAAATTTCTGTCATCATTTATTGAACTTTCACTTGTTCCAGAACTGAATTTCCTTCTATTGTTGAACACAAAGTATGCTGGAAAGCAGCAGCCATTGACTTCAATTGAATATTTTGTTCTTACTATGGATGTCATTGGATGCTGGTTTCCAGCTTCTTCGGAATTTGTTTAGTAGGGCTGCAAGATTTTGGAAAAATCGGATATTGTGAATAGTTTCACAAGATGGTTTAAATAGCACTGTTTGGCAGCTTTCTGAGGAGTTTAACAGTGTTCAGGTACAGAAACTGCATAATCACAATGCAACAAATGATTTTCTTTCAATTCAATTCAATTCATTCATTCATTAATTTTCCTTCTGCTTAGTCCCTTTATTCATCAGGGGTTGTCTCAGCGCAATGAACCGACAGCTTATCCAGCACAAGTACTGGGCACATAGTACTGGGAAACATTCATACAATCTCACATTCGCACTCATACACTACAGACAATTTAGTTTATTAAATTCACCAATGGCCCATGTCTTTGGACTGTGGGGGAAACTTCACACAGAAATGCCAACTGACCCAGCTGGGACTCAAACCAGTGACCTTCTTTCTGTGAGGCGACCACTGAGCCACCGTGTCGCCCCAATTCAATTAAATTCAAGTTTATTCATTACCATTTCTTTATTAGTTCCAAATCTTACTTTGCTTTGTCAATTTCTAGTCCAAATATCAAAAAAAAACTTTGATCAACTAAAAATATTGTTTTGTTTTCAACTTCAGAAGAAATAAGTCAAAATTAAGTTGTTTTAGTGTCAAAATTTAAAATTAAATTATCTGCCAGTGGGGTATCTAAATAATCTTGTTTTCGCTTTGTTAAAATCTAGATATTTGGACTAGAAACAAGACAAAAATTCTAAACATGAAAATTTTGATTAAATACAACAATTAAATACAATTTTGTAGCTCCTGGTCAACTACAAACCAGACTCAACATTGCATATCTTGCGATGTGACTATTGTGGATGTGCACATTGCAATACCGATGCTGAAACAATCTTTTGTGCAGCCCTATTGTTTAGTGTTCAACAGAAGAAAGAAACTCAAGCTTAGAATAACTAAACGATTAGAAAATGTTTAATTATTCAGTCATTTTCTTCTCGGCTTAGTCCCTTTAATAATCTTGGGGCGCCACAGTGGGATGAACCGCCAACTTATCCAGAAAACATTTTACGCAGCGGATGCCCTTCCGGCTGCAACCCATCGCTGGGAAACATACATACACACTCATTCACACTCGTACACTACAGACAATTTTAGCCTACCCAATTCACCTGTACTGCATGTCTTTGGACTGTGGGGGAAACCAGAGCACCTGGAGGAAACCCACGCAAACGCGGGGAGAACATAAAAAACTCCACACAGAAATGCCAACTAACCCAGCCAAGGCTCGAACCAGCGACCTTCTTGCTGTGAGGCGACAGCACTACCTACTGCCCCACCGCATCACCCGGAAATCTTCATATTTTGGGTAAATTATCCTTTTAATAACAGCTTAAAAGAAAGAGCCATCATTAAGCTGTATTCTAAATTTTAGTTACACACATTTTCACACATACACACTTTCTTAAAAACATGCATCTTTGAGCTCATGTTGTGTAAAGCATTTTAACACCAAAAAAAGTCAAGTCAGCTTCAACATTACGCTATTAAATCAAGTCGTTTTAACTTACATAGGCATGTCCGGTAATACGCAAACATAGGGGTCAAAGTTCTGCTCTGGCGGTGAAGCTGAAGGAAGCCGTTGTCGTGTTTTCTCTTTTTCGATGACTTCCTTCATTGCGTGAATCTGTCCAGGCAGCAGGTTCAGAGACACTGGCACAGAGAGCTGAGAGACACAAACAGTGAGAATTATCTAACATGCTTACGAAGATTAAATCAAGTGAAAAACATTCTCATTGGGTAATCAATAACTTGGAGATCCATAATAAAGAGATGATGAATAAGACACGTATAAAAAATGACCACTCAAACTGTTATCTTTATTTAATAATAAAACAAGGTTATTATTCAGCAATGTGGGTTTAACTGCAAATAAACTTGAAGAACATTCAACATATACATATATATATAGATTTCAGATATCATTGTACAATGGGTAACAAAACAACAACCTAATAACTGAACAAACAATTTCATAAATTATGTTGTTATGTGTTAAAAATTATTAAATAACTGAAAATGAATTAATATTTTGTAAGATTCTGTGGGTTCCTTCTATAAACTCTGATCCTAGTTCTTATTTTCTATTTAATTCAAGCAAAGTCCCTTTAAGGCAAGTCATTTCATTTGGCGGCCATCTTTGAAATGCAAATACTTTGAAAAGTTTGGGAACCCCTGCCCTAGAGTATCGTTAGTCTAGAGTGTTCTTGCCTGCGTTTGGGACATTGGTCTTGCTGAAATGTCCACCCTTGTTTCATCTTCATCCAATTTGCAATTCTATTTTCATTACAGCTAACTTAATTTCTGAACTTTTTAAGCCTCATTCACACTATGAGCTACTCGCAGTGGCAAAGCGACAGGCAACCGTTCATTTCAAAGAAGAATAAGTGACTTCTGCCGACCTCTGTCTACGTGAGCCACATTGACCTTTGGCGACCCGGTGGGTGTGTTGAGCGATGCTAAAAACTTGAGAATCCTTCAACTTTATGCAAATGAAGAGCAACTTCCTTGAGCGACAGCCAATAGGAGTACCAGTAGAGCTCACATGATCCTCTCACTGCTGACTTAGAGGCCTGTTGTGTTCTCCATGCTGTAGACATACACATACCTGCGTTTGCAGCAAGTCGCCAGCATAAAGCGACAGGCGGCTACAAAGTCACTGCTAGTGTAAATTAGGCATAAGTTTTGCGTTATTTGTTTGTTACCAGTATCTGGTGAAGGTTTCAAGTCAACAGTGCCTTTAGATATGAATTTATAGTGAAAAACAGTGATATCTGATTTTACCCTCTGTATATCAGATATTGATCAGGACAGGATATTTTTAAAAGCACAACCAACCTTAGCAATTGAGAGCATGTAGCCTTTCCACAGCTCTCTGGCTTCAAGACTGGGAGCCTGAAAAAAGTGCATGACATTGGGTGAGTGTTACCAATTTAAAAATAACTCAATATTAATCAACTGCAAGAAGTTTGATTTATACAAAAGGATAAAAAATGACAAAAGCCATACAATCATCCTGACGTCTTCTTTTTTCATGTGCAGGGTGAAACCAGCAGCATCCAGGTTTCGCTCACGAGAGCCATCATCCGACACTGAGTTGAGATCTGACAGCTCCAGCTTCTCAATATACTGTATTCATAAGCAAACAGTTGATGTATAAATAATCTTGTCTTGTCAAACATACATAAGCAAACAGATTTTAACCATGCAATTTAACATATTATTAAGAAATACACATAAACTGAAAACGTTATGGCTTACAATGTCTTAAATAGAAGATGCAGCTTGTAAAATACACTTACCACACTGTCTTTGCTGCTATTGAAGAAAAAAAGTGAATCTCCACACAAACTGGTCCAGAGTTTACGACCCATCTGTACAAAGAGAAATTGCATTTTGCATTTAAATGTGATCTGGATATGTGGTTTCTCAACAGCATACGTTTTCTGTTTGTTTATAAAACATACACGAGTAACGACCAAACCAGTTTGACAGAAAGAAAGGAATGACGAAAACAAAGGAATTTTTCCCTCTTCATTAAGAACACTTTGAAACAAGACATAACCCAGAGGCTTGATTTTATTTCATGTTCATTTTCCAATCAAGTTCCAATTAAATTAGATTGTGAAAGGCTTAAGATGTTTTGGTTTCTGGTTTCGGCATCAAATTAAATTTACAAAGTGATCTTATAGACATACTGAAGATAGAAAGCATATTAAATGCCAGATATAAATGTTTCATCTTAAATGTTATGTGAAGAACAAACGTCAAAATATGGACACTGTTTAATGTAGCATATTTATTAAAAAAACATTCTTAACAAATTAAAATAAGTAATCATGGTGTATTTTAATTTTAATTAATATTTTAAAGCTTATAAATCTGTTTTTGATGGATGGATTAACAGTTGTAATAATTTGCATAAAGGTTACAGTCAGGTTCATAATCAAAGTGCATACTCTACAGTATCACAATACAAAATATTTATTCTTTGCTTGAATCATGAACTAAAAAAAATACAAATTTACCACAAATAGCCTAGCTCATGAGTGCTGTGAACAGAACATAACCCTCTAAAACAGAAAACCCTCTTACCATTTTACTAAATGCAAATGTTTTAACTGTATTGTTAAATCTGCATGCAAGTACGTAAGCAAACCAGTTTTGTTGACATTTCCACATCTGTAAGCAGACAATTTACATGTTGCGACAGACGATTGTGCAACACTCTTTTATTGGCCACTTCTGTTTCTTAAGGATCAATGGTCACATTTTTACATTGAGACTATCTACCATCTAGATACATTTAAATGTAAAGCAATTGAGTATGCAAGGGTACAATATATATTGTTCTGCAAAACGGTATTAAAAAGGCTCATTATGGGTATAATATGTTCAAAGTCAAATTATTGTATTCTTGCATGTAAATTGATGTCTAAAATAAGATCTTTCTAGGTGTAAAAAAGTATTAATAGTTTTACAATAAGCACATACATTTTTAAAAACATATAGGTTAAATAAGTTAAAAATTGAATATACTATGTTGAAGATTAACTTGAAAGGAATTCAAATATTGTACCAATTAGAGAGTGATGATTTTTCTACAGAAATACCGAGATAAGTCCTGAGTAAATACATGTGTGACTGTAAAAGAATGATTATAATAAGTTAGTCCAAACTGCTAAACCCCAACTTAAGTATAGTATAGCATGTAGCAAAACCAGATGATTATTTTTATTTACATAAACAGGATATCAACTTGAAATGTAGTTTATATAAGGGCTAAGCAATATGGCAAATATGCAATCTCGATAATTATTTTTCATATTGATCGATAACGATTTATATTTTGATTGTTGTTAATGCTTCAAGATTTAAAAGAGTATCCCAACAATGACTGAAGCCACAAAAATTAAGGAGACAATTAACTGCATAACATATTTTCGGTAAATCAATTTTGGGTGGCCAAAAGTTTGGTACATCTCTAATATCAATGCACTTTTAGATTCCCATTGTTGCACATTTATGCACTGTGATTGTCTCTTAAATCAGTATAGAGTAAAACATTTAGAGCTTATTGTTATTGACATCAATTTTATCGCGATTCGATATAATATTGTTTATCGGCCTAGCCCTAGTTTATATTGCTAAATATATATGATTACATAGGTTACACAAATACATTTACCAACATGAACATAATATTACAGTAGTCATCTTTGTTAATGTTATGAAAATATAGTCGCTCATTGTTAGTTCTTGCTTTCAGTGCATTAGCTATAGATTTAAATAATGCATTAGTAAATGATGAATTCAACATTAATATGATTAATACATGCTGTATGTTGTTCATTTGTAGTTCATGTTAGTAAATTCATTATCATTAACTAATAGAACCTTTTTCTACTGCTACTGTTTTGGGAAAAAAGGGAAAAAAAATCCCCTATACATGTAAACTGTGGCTTGGAGAGATTATCTCCATGTTACATTTAGAGTGAATTAGATACTATTTAAAAAGACAACACGAATAATTTGACAAAACTTGTAATCCTTATATTGGTTCCCTTGAAAAAAAAAAAACTTGTAAAATGATGCAAAATTTCTGTAATGTTTTAATATGCTTTATCATCATACTCTGCTGTTCAAACAGGTGTTTGTAAACAACTTATCTTGTTTTGTGGGCGTTTTACTTTTTTCATTTACATTATGATTTTCATATTGTTTTTGCTTTTTCTTTGCTTTGCCTATGTTATACGTAGACAAAGTGTGTAAAACAGAGAATATATTTCTTTCTGAATCTCTCTTCAATAAAACTGACAAAAAAAAGCATCTTCATCGACCCTAAACAAGCTGAGCTGATTTAAGGGTTTTAGTGTGCACCTTTTAAAACATTTAAATCCTTTAAAAGTCAAACATTAAACATTTTCCCCTAAACAATTATGAAAAATATTGTCTTGAGAAGTAAAGGTGTAAAAAGGCGCGCACTACTGTACATAAACACGCTGACTCACCTTGTCTTTGATGGATTTCTTCTCTAGAAAGCCTTCGTGATAGCATGGTGGCAGCTGAGCTCTTCCTCGTCTATTGCGATTTGCTGCTGCCATAAGTGAAGATAATACAAACTTATAAAACTGTTCAGGTAGGCTCTCTGAAAGAAGACGCTTAAATGTCCACCAGCGCCTTTAATGCGTTGACCATAACCAAGTTAACGTGAAAAAAGAAGTTAGCAAACGCCGTGCACGAAGTATCACAACCGCCGCCAGCTGTCTATTTGAAAAGGTCTACGTGCCGACATCCTAATCTAGGAGCTCTTTACCTGTCCACAGGTGAGTCAGGTGCGAGCGAGGGTTGCCGGAAGACACGAAACCCCGCCTTTTGTGAAGCACGTCAAACTGGATGCAGACTATCAAATCTCAGCCCGTGGGCACGCATGTGAAACCGCACGGGGGGAAAACCCGCATCAAAATAGCAAAGCTTCCCAGAACTCTTTCGGCAATCCGACTCTGTGACGACAAAACGCTTTTGATTTTGTCAATAGGGTTTCATCTTAAAAAGGGGGACTCTTGAAACCTGCAATCATCCGAGTTTTCCCTAAATTTAAATCCCTCTCATGAAGTACAGCAAATAAAAACATTTATAGGCGATTCAAAGTTTACTGAAAACATATTAAAGTCACATACCATGGAACAGTATAAAATAGTAATGTTTTAATAAATGTTGAATATTATATTTTTGTTCAATTATAATTTTGTTCATTAAAATTGTGTGCAAACATCATATTTGCATTCATATTACTATCATTAAATACACTAAAAATTAAGTAGGCCTAAATATGTTTGTATAAGTTTCATAAAATCTTACACAGCCTATTCCTCTATATATTTATAATTCAAAATTATTAACAAGATATTAAATACTGTAGCATGTTTGAAAAAGTTTAATACAGTTCCTGTGTTCTATTTTGGGGTGTATCTGTATTTGCAATGTTGGGTTGTAAGGGGCTAGATTTTGGGGAAAAAGGGAGGGAGGGGTTTTCCGATGGGATGAGACAGTTATATTGTTCTGTGAGTGGAGTGTGGGTTCAGGAGTGAACACAAGGATTAATCTGTCTTAACGTGCAAAAGTTGATTAAAAAGACAAGTTGAACTGTTAAATGCTTCCTGGATTCTTCAGTTCGTTACAATACATTGTAAATGTTTATGCAGGGGAGGCTTCTAACTCAGGTTAGGAGCTGTGTTACTAGTTGTATAGGCTGTTCTTTGTTTTTTTTTTATACTTTATTTTTATTTCTTTTAAGGAGAGAAGAAAAAAATAAATAAATAAAACAAGGGGGGAAAAAATACAAAAAGTAGGTTAAAAAAATAATAAAATTAAGTAAATAATACAATAAAACACCAGAACTTAAATGAACGGTTGACAGGTCACATATTTCCTTACAGGTCACATGAACAAATACATATATAAATCAGATTACACTCTGTAAAGGCATAAGTACAATCTATTTCTCCCAATATTGCAGGTATTTGTCCATTTGTAGTTTTAAATAAAAAGTCATCCTCTCCATATTTTGAACATTAGATATGATATCCAACCATTCAGATTTTGAAGGGGGTTCCAGTTGTAGCCACTTTCGAGTCACAGTTTTCTTACTGGTTGCTAGGAGTATTTTTAATAAGTACTTGTCTTTTACCGTTAGGTTGCTGTTCTTTGTTTTATTTCTATTTATTTTATTTTTTGCTACCAAATCTTTTTTATTTATTTAATCTTTTTTAACAGATTTGCTGAACTTCTAAATCCCCAAATAGCTACTCGACTATAGGCTATGTTAGTCATTTAGCTAGGCTACATACAACTATTTTATTAATAAAAAAAAAAACATTTTTTACTACATGTAAAATATCTATTTGACATGGTGGCTCAGTGGTTAGCACTGTCACCTCACAGCAAGAAGGTTGCTGGTTCGAGTCCTGGCTAGGACAGTTGGCATTTCTGTGTGGAGATTGCATGTTCTCCCCGTGTTGGCGTTGGTTACCTTCGAGTGTTCAGGTTTTCCCCACAGTCTAAAGACATTGAGTATAGGTGATTTAAATAAAAGAAATTGTCTAAGTGTATAAGTGCATGTGTGTGAATGAGTGTTTATGGGTGTTTCCCAATACTGGGTTGTGGCTGGAAAGCCACCCGCTGTGTAAAATGCTGGAATAGTTGACGATTCATTCCACTGTGGCAATGTCTGAAATAGAGATGGAATAAGCTGAAGGAAAATTAATAAATGAATTAATGAATAATATCTACTTCAAAACTGAATTTACTCCTGTGATTCAAAGATTAATTTTTAACATTACTTGATGGTGTCAAATGATTCTTCATAAATAATTGAATCAGTTGTTTGCATTTTAATGACTTGGATTGCCAGAGTTTGTATTTTTAGGTCCTGAAATTTAACATAGCTGTTTATTGGAAACTTAAAATATCTCACACACATTTTCATTCTTAAATTTAATATCTTCATATTCACTGAATTCCAGTAGAGGCCTATTCACTTCCAAAATATTCAGTCCCGTTTGAAAAATATGACATATAATATTCAAAAGGCAATTTTCAGTTAATTTTATTTCAGTTCAAAAATTGGCTTCCATAAATTCAGTGGTTTGCGTCCTGCTCAGAGTGGGCATTAGGCTGATGGGGCTACATGCAAGTAAACTACATTTAGGCTACATATCCAGTGTAAACACTACTCTGTAAAAAATAAAGGGTTCCTTGAGGTTCTATATTGAACCCCTGGGGTTTTATACATGGCCACAGCCATATCACCCTGCAGCCCAAGACCAGTTGCTCGCTAAAGCTAGGCAGGAGCCACAGAACTGAGCCCGGTGAGTACCTGGATGGGAGACCACATGGGAAAACTAGGTTGCTGTTGGAGATGGTGTTACTGAGGCCAGCAGGGGCCTTAACCATCATGGTCTCCCAATCATCCCTACCCATCGAGTTGGCTCTATCATTGTCTCTCCAATCCACAAAAGCCGGTGTGTGGTGAGCTTACTGGCGACATTGTCCTGTGGCTGCAGTCAAATTACCCAAGTGGATGCTGCACACTAGTGGTGGTGTGGAGAGTGGAGAGACCCCCCTAATGATTGTGAAGTGCTTTGGGTGTATGGTCATAGACAATAAACATAGGCTAAATGCACATTACATACTTACTAAGATTACACAATGACTGTACACCTGCACAGCATCATCATCTCAAACATTTTGATCCAAAACTAACAAAATTACTGCTAGGGTCAAAACACCTAATCAATGTATGATTATAGGACGTTTGTACATTGACATTAAGCGGACTTCCCAATACATAATATTCAATTTTTTTGGCAAAATGTTTTGTGAAATAAATAAACTAAGCAGTTTTCTTTAGACTGCTCAGTATCCTACTATGTTGTTATGATTTTAATCAATAAAACAAATCATCACAAAACTGCCTCCTGGTGGCGAACATGTGTTTTTCATCCTTGCATTGATTAGAGCAAAGGAGTAGAGTGACGGTTAATTTTTCAACGGAGCTCCTTCATAAATTCAGGTACGTTATTACATTGTTGAAAGCATGTTATTAAAATGTTTTGTTTCAGGTAAAGGTGAAAGCTCTTAAATAGTGATAATAGTCTAACATATATGCCAATAATACATAGACTAAAAATACATTGTCTTTTTGTAGAAAACACTTCTTTTTAGGGTAAGAGGTTTTTGAGTTATTGTCGTTTGAGTTATTGTCGTCTATCACTGAATGTGTCAGGAATATCGAAAACAAAACCAACTTAACAGCGCTGATAAAGCATAGGGAATAACTGATCAGTACGACTGGCCTCGTCAGCCATAGTTTTAGAAACTTTTTTTAAGTTGATTTTAATCGGGGTTGTATACGAAATATTTTACAATCAGCTTTATTTGCAAGTCAATTTTAATAAAATTGTCAATAGCAATAAGACAGCTATGTTTCATGAAGACAAGCTTCGAGACAGGAGCGTGAATGCGCGTGCTCGCTGTTTTAGTGATAAATTCATGATTAGGAACCAATTTCCGCATTTTTGCTGTTTTTGGCTCGAACACTAATAAAACGGCCACTTCGCAGTAACGTTAATCGTAAAGTCCATGATTAACTTGTTCGTTAATTTTATCAAGTTTAAGCTTAACTTACCTCTGCAGAGTAACGACGAGTTGCGGTCGGCCATGTTTGTGGACAAACGCATGAGCGCTCAATGTAAATACAAATTACAACAGAATAAACCTCCGTTTTATAGTAATATCTTTTGTAAACATCTCATAAACACAATAAAATGGGCTAACGTGTATATATTATGTGTACGAGCAGCTGATAATATTGAACCTTAGTATGGGCAAAGAGCATAAATGATTCATATATATATATATATATATATATATATATATATATATATATATAAATCCTACTTTGGATTTTACTTGCATAAAATGTGTCATATTTTGTGAAATACTACAAAACAATTTAGTGGTCTTTTTTCTCTTAGTGCATAATTATATTTGCTATATTTTTAAACGCATGTTGCATATATGACATATTTTACATGTAAAATCCACACATGAACATGGATGTCATATATGTTTTCTAATTTGCACATACATTTTGCCATATATCAGATTTCTAAGTGGGATCGCTGTTCAGATCATCAAATATGACCCAAACAAATAATTGCTACTTACGTGTGACTTTTGTTTCATGTGTAGAGGTCTCAAAATATTGCACTAAATGGACATCTAAACAAACTAAAGTTACTAACTCTACTGTTCGATAGAAATGCAGCCATCCTTGCTTCTCACCTCAACATGCATTTGTAAACCACAGGTTACATAAAATAATTATTACAGTTCAACAAAATATCACAAAACAAATAATAAATTATGATTTAATTAAAAAACAAAACTATTATGCTACACGTCTGTTTAAAGCTGTCAAAAGCACATCTTACCATCACTCGGGCTGGGAGATTTGGCCTAAAATCAAAACCCCAATTAATAAAAAATTTTTCCTTAATTACGATTAATGAACGATTAATTTATTAATTAATTTTTTTGCTCTCACAGTTCACTGATAAGTTTTGTACAGTAAATATGCACACACATTACAAGTGAGAGATTTTGAATGTTGAACAACTGAAATTCAAACACACATTGCCTAAAACGGTCACTTTTTTCTTTTAAAAAAGTGACAATAAATAACTTTTGGAAACAAAATTAATTGTTTTCAAAGTTTTTCATATTAAAAGTAAAAATAAGCAGGATCTCTTCTAAATAAAATAACTTTTGCATATCCTGTGAATAATATTTTAAAGAGTGCAGTTCTT